AATCCCTTATAAGCCCTGTGAAGTTCGTATATTTTCAACTTCTATGCAACTGTTTTGGCCTGACGACGAGTTACCGAAAGCAAATGTTTGCCAAATTGACTTTTTAAACGGAGAATAAACTAGCAAGCGTAAGTTCTGAACCATCGGTCTTTAAAAAAACCAGTGTCCACCAGCAGATTGTATTCACAGAAATTTCGGGCAAGTAGTCATTCATTACAAAGAGCATATAAGTTCAAAGTATTTCTAGAGCAAACGTTCCCTCCCCCCTCAGCCAGCGTAGAAACACTCCGAGCACTTGCAGGCGTATCTTCCTCCGCATGATTTATGCAAGATCGCCTTGTTGTAAATCAACTTGCGGGCGATGGTTGGTTGGAGAAGCTAAAGAAAGATCGATATTAACTTGGTGAATGGAGAGCTCAGTTGTAGGCATGACGACAACATAGGTTGCATATCAACTGCCTGCACTGAAGGTTAGCTCTGACGATCAGAGGGAATCAAACGAGCAAGATTAACTTGGCGTAAAAAAGAGAGGGAGAAGTAGTACCGGAAATTAAAACTTACGTCTGCCTTTCAAAAAGAAACCGAAATCTAAAGTGAAAAAATTGATTCTAAACAGCCGGAACACGGGCCACGCAGAATGTATAACGATTTGTTTATTCATGTATCAGAGAAATAATTATTCTATGCGAGGCGATTTGTCCATAACTGATCAAGCCGAAGAATTGCATCGGATTACCATGTGCTGCGATTTAAAACAAAGTTGAAATATCAGCGTGGTCGACATATGCAAGTGAAAAGAGTACTTGATTGGTCTACCTTCATCCACACATTTCCTAGTTGCATTTTCGCATTCCTCTAACGTGAGGAAATTGTTTGCATTTCCGCCGCATCCGCTGTATAAGTATGTCTTGCAAGTGCCCAGCTGAGAATCATATCCGTACCTCTCGTCGTAATCTTCGCAATTTCCCATCTCGAAGGTCATGTGACAAATGTCCGAACCAACTGAAATAGAACAGTTTAAGTTAGGGAAGGAGACAATGGCATAAAAGGCCACGAAAGTGATGTTAGGAGATTCATGTGTGAGACTATAGTAGATCGGGGGAAATATCCCATTTGAGCGATCTGCGTCACGAGAAGGCATATGGCTTGGCAAGGTAATCGATCGATCCTCACATTAGTTCGGAAGGAAGTGCGCGGTCAAGGACATTTGGGTGCGCATATGCTTTACTCCGCTGCAATCGTTTAACGGTCTCAGCCGTTAATTTTCTATCAAGTGACTGGAAAAAAGGATATTTTTGTGCATGTTTTCTGTAAAATGTACTCGTATTTTTAAGGACGTCGAAAATCGGTGAGAAAAGTCCTACTACTTACGTAGTCACTTTTATGGAGCATGGATCAAGCAAGGCGGTCGATTAGGGGCTGGTTCAAAAGCCGGAGTCCTGACATGACTAAGCTAGCTCGTATTCTGTGACAAAATAACTAACATGTCAACCCTACTTAAGTAATCTTTTCGAATAGAGAATTCATCGCAGAATTTCAGTTTAAAATTAATGAGATGGGACACCTTCCGATGGGGGAACTTCTAGATTCAATCAAACCACCAGACTGAAGATGCGGAGATCCAACTTAGGCATTTGGTTGGCGGAAAGCAATATTTTAGTTAGAGGGAATCTGCACGTTAAATTTCTAACAAGTTCGTGATAGTGAGGTCGTTAGAGGAGTCTGAAAAGCAAAACAGCGGAGCTAGTGCCAACAGGGGAGCCAATTTTTTATAATTTGCAGGGTTTAAAGGGAAGAAAAAATACCCATGCCGGTGGCTTCATTTGTCGAACTAACCTAGGTGAGCATGTGCTCTCAAATTACGGAAGAACCAGTCGAAGACCTACAGTAGGTGGCCAACTCAAGAAATGTCAACCGAAATTCAGAAATGCGTTTTCGTTTCGAAACGATTAGCTTGGTAGGGTTGTAGAACTGGTCAGCCAACAGCATAATTCTATAATATTTCAGTTACCTTAGGATGCCGGCTTTCGAATGAATATCCTTTCGGCTGCATGCAGAAATTACATTCTGTGAAAAATGGCTTCTTAGGTAGCATAGATTTTTCTCACTGATTTTCTATTTCATAGAAAACATGCACAAAAATATTCATTCTTTTTCTCATTCGGTAGAAAATTGTGTCATCTTCCAGTTTTGTACTCGAAGAAAGGGTATTATTCGGTTTTGAAGAAGTTTCTAACTGCGAGGCTATTTAGTAGCGTGAAAGGTTAGATCGCAGTTGGTAGCCAGGAATGAGGAAGCGGATGGCGACCTTAACCCTGATCCTAACCTTAAACCTAACCCTAACCTCAACATTAAACGTTAACCATTAACCCTAACGGCAAGCCTTACCCTGACCCTAACCGAAATCGTAAACGTAACCGTAGACCTTAGACATAACCGTAACTGAAAAAAACAAACCGTAATACTGAAACCTAATCATACCCTCAAACCCTAACCGTAACCCGAACACCTAAGCCTAAATGAATAACCCTAACCCGAAAATCGAAAACCATTAACCCGTAACCTAATCCTAACCTCAAACTTAAAACGGAAACCAAATGGGTCAGATGTGATTATGGGACCCCACAAAATAGCTCCAGTAAGCAAACCCCCCAGTCACCTGTAATACAGGGCCTGGCTACCAAGTGCGATCTAGCCGCGTGAAATGGCTGTTTACAAAACGTCATGTCTTTGCATTTACCAATGTGGCTTGTAAAGTTAGCAATATGGATCAAATCTAATGCTCAAATTTATGAACCCCATATGGTCTCCCTTTAATACCGTAATGAAATGTATGGTTTTCCGTACGCGGAAAATATACGACTTGTAGTTTGGAAACCGTGAATCAGAGTGTGGTGGTAGAGCGAGTTCAAAATTATTCGGGAATTGGAAAACTTTTTTAAAACCGAATTATATCCCTCCTTCGAGCATAAAATTAGAAGAAGACGTAATAATCTACCGAATGCGCAACGAATGATGCCGGCATTCGAATGAACTTCCTTCTGGCTGCACGCAAATCTACACTCTGTAAAAATAACTACTTATGTAGCATGAGTAGTTCCCATTGATTTTCGATGCCCCTAAAAGTTCACTTTTATTTCATGAAAAACGGATGAAAATATTCATTCGTTGCGCATTCTGTAGATTATTACGTCTTCTTCTAATTTGATGCCTGAAAGAGGGACATAATTTGGTTTTAAACCACACATTTCTCTACGGTAATAAAGGGGAACCATACAGGATTCATAAAATTAAGCCATGGATTTGATCCATATTGCTAACTTTACAAGCCACATTGGTAAATGTAGAGATATGACGATTTATGAACGGCCATTATACGGTATTTAAAAGTCACACAATTAGAAACTGTTTTAAAACTGAATTATGTCCCTCCTTCGAGTATAAAATTGAAAGAAGATGTAACTTCCATTAAATAAATGGAAGAATAATATTTGTATGCAGGTTTTCCATAATATGCAATTGAATTTTTAAGGGCATCAGAAATCAATGAGAAAAATTCGTGCTACGTAAGTAGTCATTTTTTACAGAGTATACTTTTTGCATGTAGCCGGAAGGAAGGTCTTTCGAAAGCCGGCATCCTAGGATAACTGAATTATTATAGAATTATACTGCAGACTGATAAGTTTTACAAACCTACTTTATTAATCTTTTCGAAACTAAAACGCATTTCGGAATTTCAGTTGACCTTTTATGAGTTATCTCACCTAATGTAAAGTGGGCAGAGTACTAGAAACTGGCGCCTCAACCAGCAGGAAATGAGGTAAATACAAATCTACACCTATTGGTTTACCTCATTAATCAAGACTCTGAAATGGTTTATGATTACTTGAGCGGGGCCGTAAAACTAATTTTCATGCAGCACAATCCCTAACTATTTCAGTCGAATTTAGAAAGCACTTTTTACGGCCGTCTGGGGATTGACACTCGGTAAAAAATGACTACTTATGCAGTACTAATTTGTCGGCAATATCATTTTGCTATACCATGCGTCGCTGTGCGGCTGCTGGTTGGACTCGAGAGAGAGAGAGAGTCCATAAGGCAAAACGGAACGAGTGAGTTCCGTAAGAACGAGCGGTGAGCGCTCCCTACCATACTATTAATGTTCCAAATTGATTTGTCATGTCCTTATTAAGTGGAATATATTTTGCAAAAACATGCCAAAATACTATTCCCTGTACTCATTCGTATTTGAAGAAAAGATATCTTTCAATTTTAAAGAGTCTGTGAATACCAGATTTTCAAAGAATCTAAAGCATCGATTCGTACAGTATCGTATCAGTCGTTTATCAGAGCTGTCTATGAAATATACAGCATAGTCCGTATCCAGTGCAAACATTCACGAGTCCTCTGTGGCGTCTTATTAATAACTTGGCGAAGTCTTTTATTTTTTACACGGAAATTACAGAGCATGTAGTCGGGAAACCCTAGACGCAAGTGCAACCGCTGGTCGGGTTAAAAATTATCCGGGGATCGGAAGTTTCTAAAACCAACAGATGCCTTTTCTTCAAGTATAAAATTTGAGGATGTTATTTGCTACACAACTAGTACAAGGAAGAGTATTTTTATGCGTGTATTCTATAAAACATAAATAAATTTATAGGAACATCGGAAACCAAAATAAAATATTCACACTACTTACGTGGCCCTTTTTCACCAAGTGTGACTCTCCGGGCGGTCTGAAAGAATCTTACTCAAAAGCCGGTAGCCTGTCATGATTGAAATATCTTGGGAATACCCTGTAAAATAATCAACACTAGGACTCTGCCTAAGCAATACTTTCTGATTGGAAACGCACTCCACAATTCCTGATGTCACTTCATGAAATATGTTAGCCACTGTTCAGAAATGAAGCGTTACCTCTGAGTACTGATAGAAGTTATTTTGGTGTGCATGTCTTAAAACAATACTGCCTAGATGCTGAAGTCAAAGAAGCCTCACATCAAGGTTCTGCGATGAACATGCAGGCATTTGTGCCGTCGTTTAGAACACGCAAATTTCCCTTGACTTGTTTTACACATTTAAAAACGTCCAAGTTCAGTAAGTAGACAAGTCGACAGGAAAATTCATTTATCCCACTTATTCGTCCAATAAGAGGAGAGGAGCAGACCGATATACGCTACTTGCACGGACTTCTATTCCTACAGATAAGCCTGTACGGCAGAATGGTCTGTTCGAAAGTGATAAAGGTACACCTCACACCGCGATTATCTATATTCGGTTGCCGTCCTCCACCAATCACTACCTGGTTGACGGTAGCTATGGCACTGACCTTGAGTTGACCTTCAATGACGCCTCTCCCGAGAATGTCGCTATCTGAATTGTGTCTCGCCCAGAGGACTCTCTCAATCGGGCGGCCATATGCCAGACTCCCGCACGAAATAACAGCTTGACCGGTGGTGTACGCATCAAGATGTGAAATACTTGCTTGACTTACGTTCATCTGGGCAGGTCATGGCTGCTCTTTCGCAATCTGCTTCCCTCTCAAAATTGTTTGCATTTCCACCGCAACCGCCGTAGTAGAAATCTGTGCATCTGCCAATCTCGCTGTCGTATCCGTATCGTTTGATGAGATCTGTGCAAGGCCCCTCCTCGATTGGAATTTTGCATATGTCCTGTGGAGCTAGAATGTGGTGAGTAAGCCCACGCATAGTTAGTCAAGTAATACAAATAGAACAAGACTGGGTGAGTTTAAATGTCCAGGTAGTTTTTACGGAAAAATCGCCATTATCGAAAACAACAGAAAGGCTTCTTGTTCACCACCTTGAAACATGCTTGGCATGATAGCAGGAGGCACTCTTAAATTAGACAAATTAACACAGGCTGTATGGGTTTAAATTGCCAACCTGGAAGGTTTTCCGTTGTGTGCACTTCGATTGGGCAATGCGCAGTCGCCTCTTCACATTCTTCTTTCGTGTCAAAATTGTTTCGATTTTGGTCACAACCACCGTATACGAACTCCGTGCAGGTGCCGACTCGGTTGTCGAATCCGTATCGCGTGTGCCGTGCTCTGCAAGGCCCAACAATCATCGGCAAGCGGCATAAATCGGAGGCAGCTGGAACATGACAGTTAAAGGCAGGTAGGCAGGAGCTCGCATATAAACGTGGACAAGGTTTTACTATGTGGGTTTGAGTTCAGGAATTGTGATTTGGGAATACTAATCTTGTTTGAGGGGTCTGCTTGACCAAGGTAAGGGGACGCGTATATGTGCTCTTCCCTGACGTTAGCGGATTAGTTGAAACATACGCATGCGGACTTAGGGGCTAGATAGGGATCCGGTGGACGTTATCGGGAATGCGCGCCCATAACTAATGACAACATCCGGGGTGTAAGGTGGTAGATCTACTTACAGGCATACTACGCGCCAGTTGGATTTCCTGCCGCTATCTCCCCCCCCCCCATATCTCTTGTCGTTTAAAATTCTGGTCAAGTGTCCATCGTGGATCATGCGGTGTGGTGGTACGCCTTGATGTGGGTCCGGCCGTGTCAGCCACCTACGCTCTCTCTCGCCTCCGGTATTCTTGACTCTGTCTTGGCACCTGACCCAGGTTGGTGAGGAGGAGAGAGTACGGCAAAATGGGAAGCTCATACCTGCTCTTCCCAGACGTAAGCGGATCAGTTAGAATATACGCAGGGATTGCGAGACGGACAGCAACAGCTGAAACAGACACACAAACCACATTTCTTATGCGCCTTGCTCTGAGCCGGAGGTGAGGCATAATTTTGTGCCGGAAGTCTTTTGGCCAGTGCTAGTACTCAATGGGACCTAGTATGCATCAACTGCCCTTCTGCCAAGCTGAACGTCAAGCCCACTCTCCATCCGCTGAGGACACTGAGAACCGGCAAGGGTACAATATGTAACCGCCTAGGGGAGACCGTAGTTAGCTACCAATCTAACGCCAACCATGGCCCTGCCCTCGGTGGGAAATCTCCAACCTGTAAACATTTGAGGAAAAGTCGGCCGTCACCGTAGTCAAAAGCCACAGCCTAAAACCCCAAGCCCAGCCTCCGTCCCAAATTCAAACCATACACCAAGCCCGGAAACCCTATGCCCAAGAATGACCCAACTAACACCAATTTCAACCGTTGTCCAAACCCTAACCTTGAGCCCTAAACGGGCAACTTTAATATCGACAACGCATTTGGAGGTCAAAATCTGCTTCTCGCATAACCCCTTTCGCGACATACTGCCAGGCAACAACCCCACGGGGGGGGGGTCACATACCCTACCCTTGAGGACGTCCCAAATACCTTGGAGGAACCAGTGTTCAATCCATGCAAGGGGACTTTCTCAAGAACGGTCGAGCAGTTCAATAAAGAAGGAATGAGCATATTTTGTAACTGAAGACAGTATGCACGCATTCTGACTTCCTCTAGGAGTGGCAGGGTTGTCGACAGAGATAAGAAGTGAGAAGCCTTCGATTGACTTACCTCTGGTTTTGCATACCGCGGTTGCACTCTCACATTGTTCATGCGAGCTAAAATCATTGCCATTTCGGCCGCAGACGCCGAAGGATAGTTGAATGCACTTGCCAATCAGAGATTCGTATGTGTATCGTTTGTAGAATGCTCTGCAAGGCTTCCTCTCGACGGGTGCATTACATCTATCGAAGACAGCTGGAATGAAACGGCCAAAGACACAGGCCCTCGCATTAGTGAGATATATGACGCAACTGAGGTTCTGCTAGATGGGTTTTAAAATCCGGAAATGGGCTTAGTGCAGAAATATCTAATCTGGCTAGCAAACGTGAGAGATCCGGGTCAGTAATCCGACGAAAGGAAACAGCTCACCCGATGGGGGGAACTTGTTTGGCTGACGTTTCGAAGAGCTTGGGTGGCTATCCATTATCAAATCTTCTAGTGCGAAAATCGATCAGAATTTTGAATACACTCCGAATGTGTTGGCCTTTGGCTGATCGATTTTTTCATCTTTCGTTGCCTCATCCTAGACGCAAACTCAGGTTGCGACTCACATGGGAGAAACTGGCCACAGTTTTGACTTTCAAAGAGCAGTCGTCTTAGGCCGGGGCACCTCAAGGACAGAACGTCTCACACTTGAGGCTTGGTACTCAGATGCCAACTCCATCAACAGGCATCTAGACCTCCCTGCGGCCTATAAAGTCGTGCGTCATTATATACGCCATGACGGGGACAAGACGGTCATACGGAGCTGAAGAATGTCGAGCCAACACGGCCTGTGGACCAATTCACCCAAAAGGGAGACACAAACGCAACTAACCCCAATTGAGGTGACGACACATAACACAGGAGATCACCAACACTAACAAACGACGGCCATTAGGCCAACTCAGCGAAAGAATAAGAAAAATCGATCAGCCCAAGGCCAACCCATTCGGCTGTTTATTCGAAATTCTGATCGATTTTCGCACTAGACGTCTTGATAATGGAGAGCCGCCCAAACTCTTCGAAACGTCAGCCAAGCAATTTCCTCGATCCGGTGAGCAGTTCCCTTTTCTCAGATAAACTATTCCTCGTATTTCAGAGTTGTGAAAATCCTCATAGCTATATTCGGAAGGCAAAGTGGCGAGCGAGCGTTGCTTCCGATAACTTCTTGCCAGGCCAGTACAGTTAGATGTGACGGGGTACAGCGAGTGGAAAAACCAATAAAAGTTAGTTTTTAAAATGCGGGCTAGGCAAGAGCGGAAGGGCGCAGAAAGTTGTATGTGGTTAGTCAACCTTTGACCACGGTAGGCGCGGAGACTGAACGAGGTCCTTCTGGGCACATAGGGTCGGTTTTCGTAACTTGATGGCGGCCGCTTCTCTTGTTACTAACAAACGTTGGTCCAGTAGCTTAGGGTGGTTCGAGGAGACCTTATAAATCAAACGAAATGCTTCAGCGGAGTCCACACGATGCCCTGAATTCACTGCATGCGCAAGGATGGCGCTGTCTATTCTTCTAGTTTCACCTTTTGCCAGCCATGTGGGAAGGTGATCTCGTATTCTTTTGGAAAGACGCCGACTCGTACGACCAATATCACCTGCTCCACAGAAGTAAGTGAATGAGTAGATGCACATTGAGGCGGTCTGAGGTGGCAGCGAACCCTTGCCTTCTCCGATTAAAATAGGTTGAGTAGAGAATGATATGCAGACCCTTGCTGCTGGAAAGGTTCCCGAGACAGCATGGTTAAGGCGTCTCCTTAGGAGTCCACTCGCAGCGTCTCCTTGGAAAGGGACTTTGAGGAACAACGTTTTCTTTTCGGCGGTCAGTGTGGTGGGTTTTGCGGGTCGTTCGGCAAGGTTCTGTGCAATAAACCTGTCAGGATACCCGTTTTCGTGAAGCAAGTCCTGGATTTTTCTAAGTTCCTCCCCGATACTATCCGTTGAACAAATTTTTCTAGCTGTTTGTGCCAAACACCTGACAAGATTTCGTTTTTGTTGGAGAGGTACGAAACTAGCGAAGTTCGTGTAATGTCCAGACCAGGTTTTCTTCCGATAGACGCTTTTTCGGATGCTACCGTCAGATCTCCTATTTAGAGGGATATCTAAGAAAGGAAACGAACCGGCCGATTCCATCTCCAACGTGAATTTGATCTACGGATGTGTTCGGTTTACAGCAATCAGGAGGGCAGCAACGCCGGTTACTGTGGTTGCAATCGCAAAGATATCATCAACGTAGCGGCCGTAATGTTTAAGCTTTTCGATCTGATCGCTTAGTCGAAATCTCTCCAGCTTGCCTATGAGGACGTCGGCTAAGAGAGGTCCAAGAGGCGAGCCCATAGCAACGCCGTTTATTTGTCTATAGAGTTGGTTGTCAAAAAGAAACTGCACATTTAATGTGTACCTTAATAATAATTCCTTGAGTTTGTTCGTCGATATTCCTATTTCTTGCTGACTGGCAGATAGAAAATTACAGATGGAATCAACTGTCTCGGTGGCCGGGACGTTTATAAAAAGTGATGCAACGTCTATTAAGAACATCATCATGCTGTCTTTAATGTCGTCAATGAATTGAAAGGTATCTCGATAGATGCGTGGTGCCAGCTGAGGTTGTATGGCCTCGAGCTTCTCTGCTAACCGCTTGGCTATCGCATGATACGCGGAGTTCCCTCGTAAAGATAGAGGAACTTGATCGTCATGTGTGTCAACGCACTGCCGTCCTAGATATCCCGACAGATGACGAAAGACGGAAATTCGACATATACGCTCAGTTTATAGAAAGAAGACGTGGAGAAACAAAAAGTTCAGCGCTTCATAGAGGCTTACGCGAATTGAAACCCCAGTCACGGTTTCCGAAAGATCCAGCTCGGTACGTACACAACCATTCTTATATGATATTTGACAAAACATCACTTGAAGTATTACCCCTTGGTCCTACGTTTTGCAAAACTCGTCGAAAAGTTAATCAGTTAGAATTGGAAACTCAGTTCGAAAACTTCATCAACTGCTCTGGAGGAATAAAACAAGCAAGTTTGACTGTGTTTCTTGTAAAGCATTTATATATTTTGAAGATAGGTTGGCAAACATACTTTGCTTTCGATAAATTCACCTCAGGTCAGTACAACTGTATGGGAACTAGGCACAGCCAAACATGTCAGTGTTTGGAATATATATGTATATATGTATATAGATAATTAAAAGTTTCCTTACCCTCTTCATCTTCACGCACAGGAACCAACGTTATTAGTAGAACGATGAGCAGCATTCCCCTCTGCTTTCTCGTCTACTTGGCCGTGCTTTTTATACTGTTTCCTTGACAATATTTGACTGTTTTTGTTTTGATTTCTGCTTATGCAACTCCGACCTCCACGTCTTTCTGGCAGAACGCAAAAAAATATCTTGTTGGCGAGTCTGCGCATTTCAATGGCGCAGCCGTTTGCGCCAAGTGGTGATGTTGACAATGCTTTTATTCATATCTTCCCAGAAAGATGCCAGTGTTCTCGTTTCTGCCATGCTAGATTTCGTATTAGCAGCTTAAGGAGACGACGTTTGAAGCGCAATCCACACGGACCAATGGGATTTAGGCGTGCCCAGATAGGGAGTGGGGGTGGTAGGTCTCGTCCGATTGGTGATGGGTGCACCCAACTTTCATCTGTGGCTGGTCGGAGCTCACATCAGCCTAGCGTCCACAGGCATGCCAAATCGGATGAGGGTATTCGATGTTGTGTATGTCCCCACACCCGGTAATTCGGTTCCCATCCCGCCCTCCCTCCTTCCTCGATCTCCCTCCCCCTTTCCACTTTATAAGTCCTACGGAGTGGGCGACATGCATAAGGGCCGACAGGAAATGTAGACGAGCAGGCTAATATTCGGGTGGTACTTTATCAAACAATGCTCTCTACAAGCAGATCGCGACTTGAGGATGAAAAACTCGCGATTTGAAACAATCAAACCAACCAACAACCCTCGTCACCTTCTCCTGCGCCCCACCGCACGCGCCAGTGAAGTAACTCCACCTAGTCAGGTTGCCTGGACTGTTCGTTCTCTTTTAGACAATCGGCTGGGAAGGAGAAAGACACTGTTGGCTCGAGAACTGGCGCCTCTCAGGGTGAACCTCGCTGTTCTCAGCGAGTCCTGATTCTCCGAACAGGGTCAGCTGAAGGAGGTGTGTGTCGGCTATACCTTCTTCTGGAGTGACCGCCCGAAAGTAGAGTGGGGCAATGCTGTTGTTGCCTTTGCCATCCGCAACTACATCGTAAGACGACTGTCCTGTCTGCCCAGAGACCCCACTGACCGTCTAATAACCTTTCGTCCGCCTCTAATGGGAACTCATTTGGCCACTGTCATCAGCGCCTACGCCCGTCTCCCAGTGACCAGCTCAGACGAGGTGAGGAACAAGTTCTTCGAAGGCATGGACGCCCTCCTGACGATTGTGCCGAAGGCGGACAGGTTGATCGTCCTTGGTGACTTCAACGTCCGCGTCGGGACAGACCATGCTGCCTGGAAGGGATTGCTGAGCCTCCATGGGATCGAAGGCTGCAACGATAACAGCCTCCTCCTCCTCCTCCTCATTCTGCGGACCTGTGCAGAACATCTTCGCCTTCTGATCAACACCCTCTTCCAGCATCTGACGCAGGAGAAGGCAACCTGGACGCACCTCTCCTCGCGGCGTTGGCTGCTGCTGGACTACGTTCTCGTCCGAAGGATTGATCTTCAGGACGTGCTGGCGACGAAGGCCATCTTCGACGCCAACGTCTGAAAGGATCAGCGCCTAGTCAACTCCTAGAAGAGGCCTCAACTGAATAGGGTCTACGTCGACCGTGAAACCAACATAAACGGAACAACCTCCCCTTGCGGGGGATGCAAAGTGCGTGGAGGTATCGCAAGACCGAGAAAATCCGCGGGCAGCAATGTAATGAAGAGTTTCTTCGCGTCTATCAGAACAGTCTGCGACCGCGCACCAAAGAATCCGCGTCGTTGCTTTTTATAGTGAACAAACGACTTTATTTAGCTCTTCTGTGCGCACAGGACCGGTCCGCGAAGCCTGATTGCAGCCGCCTCTACCGTAGCCAACAAGCGCTGCCCAAGTAATTTTAGATATCTTGACGGGACCATGTAAATCACTCTAAAGGCATCTCTGGCATCTATACGCTGTTCTGTGTCTACCATGTGCGCGAGGATCGAGTTGTTGATGTTCTTTATTTGACCCTTTATTAACCATGCTGGAAGATGTTCTTTTATTCTTTTGGATAAACGTTGGCCCGTGCGACAAATATATTCTGCCCCACAGGAGCAGGTGAAGGAGTAAATACACATAGAGGTGGTCTGAGCTGGAAGTGTGTCCTTGCCCTCTCCGTATACGATGGGACTGGTGGAGAACAGTACACGGGTGTCAGCTGTGGCAACGGTCTGTGACGCAGCTTGAGTTAGGCGTCTTCTCAAAAGTTCACTTGGTGCATCCCCTTGAAATGGGACCCTGATGAAGATACTTTTCTTTCCTGCCGTCAGTACCGAGGGGTTTTGTGATCCTTTGGCCTTGTTCTTAGCAATGACTTGATCACGATACCCATTCTGTGAAAAAGGCTTTCGATGATCTTCAGCTCTTTCTCAACGCTATCATCTGAGCAGATCCTTCTCACTCTTTCTGCCAAACAGCGGACTAAATTACGTTTAACGTTTTGCGGCACGAAATTCCCAAAATGAGTGCATTGTCGGGACCACGTTTTCTTACGATAGACGCTACATCGAATGCTACCGTCAGGTCTTCTTCTCAGAAACACATTCAGAAAGGGAAGTTAACCGGACTGTTATTATTTCAGAGTGAATTTTATTTAGTGCCTACTGGCTTGCATGGTAGTTCTCAACGAATAAGTAGTAGTCTGTTTTTATTGTCGATAAAGACGAAACAAGTTAGAACAATGTGAATCTGAAACATCAGGCAAATAAAGGTCTTGTTTCAGTGGTCGCGACTTATTCTTTAGCATTTTCTATTATTCTCTAAGAATATGTGTAGATTTAATAATCTAGGGAAACGGTCGTAATAATATCATAGCTTGCGTTCGCTTTTACAGTCAATGCAGTCCTGTGCAGATCATGCCATTTTGCAGAATGGTATGACGTCTCGATTCTGTCATGGAACTGGTCCAGGTGAGGGAGAGGATGAGAGAGTGCAGCGGATGCTACGCAAGTCTACTAATAAGATAAACTAAATCACACCCATTCCAACGTCCCTATGACTACCATGCTATGAATCACACTCTGAACAGCGTCCGTAATGAGGGTCTAGCTGACAGTTCACAGCGGACGACACGATCCCCTATGTCATACTGGTCCACCCAATGGTACCACCAGCAGCCCCTTTCATTTTCCGTAGGCAATCGAGACACCTCACTAAAACTCAGCTACGTGCGTTTTCTGCCCTTTACTAATTTTTCGGAACTTGTCCACCAGCCGCAACCGAAGGTAAATGGGCTCACGATCTGCCACACATCCCCTTCGGCTGTGGTGGTGGGCTCACCGTCGTCAGTAAAAAAGGTGGTCATAAATCTCGTCATTCAAAGATCTGGCCGCCAATCAGAATCGGTGGCCAGTGAACAGCGATGAGCAGGAGAAGAGGCTGAACAAGGCACGAGCGACTTCATGACACTGTCTTACATCTTGCTTCACTGCCAACAGCCTTCGTGGCTGCTTTGCTGACCTCTATGTGCGTCGTCATCAGATCTACCGTGCGGAGGCATTCTGGTATTCTTGTCCCATCACAAAGAACGCTAAACAGCTTAACCGTTAGCTGGACTGATTGGATGCAGAAAATCTCCCTGCCTTCTGGACGCTTATCTGGCCCTAGCAGGAAAATATACAGACAGTCAAAAGGCCCGGGTTCACTGCTGGCCACAGACGTATTTTGCTACCCCTCAGACGAAATGTTATTTCGCTCCGTCGTCCGTTTAGACTGTTCCCGACTTGCATTCCACCGCGAAACAGCAAGCGTCACGTGCTTCGCTTTGTTCCTGACAATGGTTTCCGCTGCTCCTTGTTTTTAAACTAATGTTACACCGCGAGTGCCCCTCTCACAAGACGACCCGCCAAGAAGCTCCCGCGTGACCTGATGTTTTGGCATTGCGCTCGCTCTACGGCGACGTCGGCAGTTGTTTTCACTCCCATGTAGGTACGCAGGACGTGACAGATGTGACTCAGTCGTACGGATACTTCAAATCACATCTGTAGACGGAACCAAGGTCTGCCGTGTAATGCGGGTGTGCTTAAAACCAAAGGTACACACACTGCAACCAACATGCTACGGGACACACGGTGGACACCGTCCGTAACGATGGTCTAACTGATGGTTCACAGCAGACGACACGATCCCCTATTTCCTACTTGTCCCTCCAATGGTATCACTACCAGCAGCCCCTTTCATTTTCCGTAGACAATCGAGATATCTCACGAAACCTCGGCCACGTGCGCTTTCTGTCCATGAGACGCAACCGGACTCACGACCTTCCACATGCCCGCATCGGCTGTGTTGGTGGGCGTGCCATCGTCAACTAAAAAGAGGTCGCTAATCACAATACGCGATCAACAAGCAGTCCTCAGGATAAAATGAGGCTGAAAAAGGCACGAGCGAGTACATGACCCTCTTTTACAACTTATTTCACCGGCAACGGCCTTCGTGGCTGCTGTGTTGACCGCTGCGTGCGCCGACATTGCGCTCTCCTGGAGTTGTCAAGTCTACCCTGCAGAGGAATTCTGGTATTCCTGTCTCATCGAAATGAACGATGACCAACGTAACTTTCAGCTGGACAGATTTTACGCAAAACTCTTCCTCCCTTCTGGACGCTTACCTGGTCATAGCAGGGCAATATATACAGATGATCCAAAGATCCGACTCCACCGCTGACCAGAGACCTACTTTGTTACCTCTAGGGCGAACTGCTACAGTAGGTGGGCTAACTCATGAAATGTCAACCAACATCCCGAAATGCGTTATCGGTTTGAAAATATTAATCTCGCGTCGTCCGGCGGGGCCTCGTAGCTCAAGTGGTTAGAGCGTTGGCTGTACTAAAGCCTTCCCCTTACTGCGTGAGTTCGAATCCCGCCGAGGCGCCAAGTTTTTCACAGCTGGGTCAATATGAATTATTCAAAATCTGCCAAAATATATATTTAGGTAGTGTTGTAAAACTAATCATCGTGCAGCATAATTCTGTAATAATTCAGTTACCTCAGGTAGCCGGCTTTCGAACAAACTCCTTTCCGTCTGCGTGCAAAAACTGCCCTCTGCAAAGATGACTGCCTGTTTGGCATCCATTTTACTCACTGATTTTCGAGGCTTTTAGAAATTCACTTATATTTAATGAAAAGCGTGCGTGAAAAATCCATTCTCCTTCTCATTCGGCAGAAAATTACGTCTCCTTCCGATTTTATACTCGAAGGAAGGGTATCAGTTTGTTTTCAAAAGTTTCTGACAGTGGGACTTTTAAATACTGTGAAATGGCCGTTCAGAAAAAGTCATATCTCTGCATTTTCCAATGCGGCTTGTAAAGTTAGCAATATGACTCAAATCCACTACTAAATTTAGAGAACAACATATGGTTTTCTGTACGTGTAAAATATATGGCTTGCAGTTTGGAAACCCAAAATACAAGTTTAACGGGGTCGCATTCGAGATTATTCGGGGTTTGAAAAAGTTTTTAAAAGTTGGACTACACACTTTCTTCGAGTATAGCATTGAAAGAAGACGTAATTTTCTACCGAATGAGCAAGATAATGAATATTTTTATTCATGTTTTCCGTGGAGTATAATTGAATTTCTAAGGACATCGAAGATCAATGAGAAAAATGCATGCTACCCAAGTAGTCCTTTTTACAGAATGTTGTTTTTGGGTGTAGCCGTAAAGAAGTTCGTTCGAAAGCCGGCTACCTGAGGTAACTGAATTATTATAGAATCATGTTGCACAATGATCTGTTTTATAACCCTACTAAATAAAACTTTCGAAACGAAAATGCATTTCGGAATGTTGATTGACATTTCATGAGTTAGCCCACCTACTGTACTTTTCTCCGCCTTGCCTACATCCTTCCATTTCTATTTTTCACGACTTGCACCCTGCAATTATGTGGCTTCCGCAAAACAGCACACATCACGTGCTAGGCTTTGTTTTTGACAGTTCTTACTGCTGTTCCTTGTTATTGAAGTATAGCGACTGACGGTGGCGGCGGCAGAATACTTCAAACACCTCGAGTGCCAGTCGCACAAGAGGACCCGCAAAGAAGCTCACGTGTGTCTTGATGTTTTGGCATTGCGCTCAGTCGAGATTTCGGCAGTTGTTTTCACTCCCACAAAAGACGTGACTGATGTGACTCAATCGTGCGGATACTTCACACCACATCTGTAGACGGAACCAAGTCCTGCCGTGTACTGCGGGCGCGCTTAGAAACAAAGGTAAACACACTGGGAAGTTTAAACGAGGCGCACTCCACGAAGAAAAGCGCGCTGCGTGGATCGATTGGTAGCGTTGGTTGCAGGGGTGAAGAAAAGGGGACTTATGTTTGAGCATACAGCAAGTTCTAGCAGCTACTGTTCAGACCGATTTCAATCCCCTTCTGATTGGTGCAGCACTTCTGCAGGACAGCGATCCTGTTTATCGCACATACAGTAGATGTGCTAACTCATGAAATGTCAACCAAAATTTCGAAATGTGTTCACGTTTCGAAAAGATAAATTAAGTAGTGTTGTAAAACTAATCATGATGCAGCAAAAATCTATAATAATCCAGTTACCTCAGGGTGTCGGCTTTCGAAAGAACTTATTTTCGGCTGCATGTAAGATTTATACTCTGCAAAAATGACTACTTAAGTAGCATGCAATTTTCTCATTGATTTTTGATGCCCTTGAAAATTCAATTATATTTCATGGAAAACGTGCATAAAAATATTCATTCTTTTATTCATTTGATGGGAAATTGCGTCTTGGTAGAAAATCACGTCCTCCTCCAATTTCATACCCCAAAAAGTGTATAATTCGGTTTTTAAAAAGTCTTAATTGTGAGATTCATTAATATCGTTAAATGGCCGTTCATGAAACGTCATGTATCTGAATTAACGAATGTGGCTTGTAAAGGTAACAATATTGCTTAAATCCACTGCTTAATTTTATGAACCTCATATAGTCTTCTCTTAACACAGTAGAGAAATGCATGGTTTTCGTAAGCTAAAAATATACAGCCTGTAGTTTTGAAACCCTGAATGCAAGTGTAACAGCAGGTCGGGTTCAAAATTATTCGGGAATTAGAAAAGTTTTTCTTAAAACCGAATTATAATCCTCTTAAAAGGTTGAAATTGGAAGAAGATGTGATTTTCTACCGAATTAGTAAAAGAATGAATAAAGTTATGCATGTTTTCCATGAAATATAATTGAATTTTCAAGGGCATCGAAAGTTAATGAGAAAATTGCATACTAATTAAGTAGTCATTTTTTTGCAGAGTATAGATCTTGCATGCAGCCGAAAATAAGTTCTTTCGAAAGCCGACACCCTAAGGTAATTGGATCATTATAGATTTAGGCTGCATCATGATTAGCTTTACAATACTACTTGATTTCTCTTTTCGAAATGTGAACGCATTTCGAAATTTTGGTTGATATTTCATGAGTTAGCACATCTACTGTATGTGCCCCTGGCGAGAATCCGAAACTTCAGGCGAATAAGGCTCTTGTTCCAGCGATCGCATATACTTCTTATCAGCCAGTTCCTGAACTTGCATCTTTTCCTGGAATTGTCAGATCTAATGTAGAGAAATCCTGATAGTAATATACCATTGGGATGCACGATGTAAGCGGAACAGAGTTCACGATGTTCTGTCAGAATCAGAAGAGGTAGGATAGCAAATGAAGAGCTACGGCGCCTTCGGATTTATCATCTTTTGTCTCTAAGATATCGACGATCCAGGTGCGCTTTCATCATTATCATGAAACCAATCTTTCGTTTACATAAGCCGAGGTCTCATCCACGATTTCTCATCTCAGTTTGGAAGACGGAGGACAATTATATTGGTAAGGATATTGCATCCTATATAGACCTATGAGGGAATGATGCCGCTGTCGCTGAAGTTTCCAAACGTGCTGCTGGCTAACGTAATCTTAACCAGCTCGATGACCGAGGTCAGTGAAGTACTTCATGAGATCAGTCATCGAGTCGGACACTAGGAGGGGGGGTGCTTAGGGAATGTCGTAGAAGTTGGTCTTCTCAACTTCCTGGGTGTTCGATTTCGGACTAACCACTCGGCTTAAACGCTGAGTATTTTGATTAACTGCTTCCTACTTAGGCGCCATTTCGCCACGAATGGACTGCCGTTGACTTGGTCTGGGAGGAAACGAAATTTTTACACGCGGTTCCATTTGATATCAGGACCTCTCGATCGTGATCTACTGCATTTCTTTTTTGTTGCTACTGGATAATATTCAATCAATCTACGCCCACTTCTTTAAACTCTTCTTGTCTTCATTAGAAGAAGAAGCGATCGCTGGAACAAGGGCTTTATTCGCCTGACGTTTCGGATTCTCACTTGAATCCATCATCAGAGACAGTGACAGAAAAGGGTGACTCGGGCACAGAAAATCGCAGTATTTATAGGATGCAGTCACTATGCTACCGCATACCTACAGCAATTAACCGCGCTCCACGTCATCGAGGCTGGCTGCCCGCTGATGTCGTTGCACTTGTTGATAGACTGTGGTCCCGTGAACCATGACTCAAGTAGCTCGCGGCTCACGCGATTATCCTCTCTCGCGAGAATTTCGGCCTCATCGAACTTGAATGTGTGGCCGGGTCTCGTCGAATGGGCCGCGACCTGAGAGTTTGCGTCATTTCTCCGTACCGCTGCCGCGTGTTCGGCAATTCGCGTTCGCAACAGTCTTCCAGTTTCTCCGACGTATTTGTTTTGTACGCAACTGCACCAGATCCGGTAGACGACTGCAGGCGTTTCTTGCCCTGGCAGTGGGTCTTTTGGTCTCATCATCTGACGGTATGCGGTAGCATAACGACTGCATCCCATAAATACTGCGATTTCCTGTGCACGAGTCACCCTTTTCTGCCACTGTCTCTGATGATGGAGTCAAGTGAGAATCCGAAACGTCAGGCGAATAAAGCCCTTGTTCCAGCGATCGCTTCTTCTTCTTCTTCTAATCAACTAGTTCCTGGAACTCGCATCATCGCTTGTATCCTCTTGTCTTTTCGGGGGAGTCTGGCTGTATATACACCATAGCCAGCCGGGATGCGGACGATGAGAAAATTGTCTATTGTGATCACTATGCGACCGACTGATTTAAAAAGGGATTGCACACTTTTCCCTCTCTCGTCCAGTTTGTTGGAATAGTTCACATGCAACACAGTCCCGTCCCATCTCCTCCGCATAAAAACGACTTAATGCGGCCCTCCTTGCCGGATTGCTTTTTGGCTTTGAGAGCATTTAGCTTTCCACGATGGCACGGGAAATCGGCTGTTCTTCCTGACAACCGCACAGTCCTTCAGGGTCCGTCTCAACCATTATTCCCACTTCATACTGATGATCTGAGATCTCCCAATGATAAGAAAGCTGAGGAAATGGCTGTTGGTCACCCTATTAAAAATCTGACTTATCTGCTTTGATTGACGGTTTGGATCATGTTTCTGCATGGTTTTTGGAAAACAGTCATCTGCTTGACAATCAGAGGCTCGTCTAGAGTTTTCCGATTACCAACGTCTCGCATTTCAGAAAACAACCGCCAAATAAGCCACAAACGCAGTTGCGTGAGGACGCTATAACGGCGTGTGGAGACGCACTGCAGTGAAGCGAAGACGATGTTGCCGAATTACAGTATCTTCGACGGTTTCTGAGACCCAATGATCACCCGCGCAACGGAACCACAGACAAAATCCAACCGGCTCAAGTTGTCGGCGAGCTCTTCATACTTGAGGAGCGTACATACTTTAGCCTAACCCATCATCCAGAGTGCATCAATGTAGGACACATTCTACTGGACGGCGGTAGACGCCCTAACTCATGAAATATCTTTTACGGTAAGTGATTTGGTGCAATGGCATAAGCTTGGTGTGGTTAATTTTTTCTGGAATCGACCGGAGTACCAGAAAGCACTTTTCGAAAAAAGAGGTCATGTTAGGTCAGTTTTATTGACATACTACGACATTCCAGGACCCAAATTTATCGTCACTTTTTATATCGGCAGAAGCACATTCCTCTAGTTTCCAACATGTTCCATTAAAGCGACAGTAAACTCCTCAAAGTCACTTCCTGAGAAATTGTGTGACTTCCATTGTCTGTGGATGACATGCTCGGATTTTCAAGTCCCTTTATTAACTGGCTGATTTTAGGGACTTTGAAATTTTGATGGCTGTTCAGAGAGGCACTGTTTGAACCGAAAGTGTCCCCTTTAACGGTCCACGTGGGAGGTGCCTCTGACCAAAAGGGAGGCCGCATCAGGGTACGGCGTGTCGTTGCGCCGTAGGCGCATGTCTGCGCATGTCCCGCCTGCGTTCCGCTTGACTGTGCCTTGGCATCGGACCCAGGATAGTGAGGACGAGGCAGTGCGTTAGATGCTGTGCAAGTCTACTATCACTTCACATCCCTGCTGTGGCACACACGGTGGACATCGTCGGAAATTACAGTAAAACTGTCGTTTGAGACGAACGGCCAATTTTGGGGCGTGATCTTAGACGGAGAGTTTACCAATCGTCACAGAGAGCTTTAGTGGGGCGCAGAGGAGCGGGCAGATGCACTTATTCTCATTTAGATAGTAACATGTTTAGAAGCACACCTAGGAGAAGTCGTGTTAAGAAATACACTGCATGAACAAAATCATATAACTCGAAAAAGGAAATTTCAGACATGCTTCGTCTGATGTGTATCATGCTTTGCTTTTGGAATACGGGGTCATAAGTATAAGGGGCTACGGCTTGAAATTTTCATATATCTACAGTAGATGGGCTAACTCATTAAACAGCTACGAAAATGCCGAAATGTGTTTCCGTTTCGAAAAGATTAATTAAGTAGGGTTGTAAAACTAATAATCATACTGCATAATTTTGTAATAATTCAGTGACCGGAGGATGTCGGCTTTCGAAAGAATTTCCTCACTGCTTCATGCAAAATTCGTACTTTGTAAAAAATGACTACTTATGTAGCATGTAATTTTCTCATTGATGTTCATTGGCTATGAAGATTCAACTATATTTCATGGAACACATGCATAAACGTAGTCATTCTCTGGCTCATTCGGTAGAAAATTATGTCTTCTTTCAATTTTATACTCGAAAGAAGTGTACGATTCGGTTTACAGAAGCTTTTCCAAATCCCGAATAATTTTGAACCGCGACCTGCCGTTACACTCACATTCAGGGTTTCTACACGGCAAGCCATATATTTTCCACGTATAGAAAACCATACATTTCCCCACGGTATTAAGAGGAGACCATATGTGGTAAACATAATTTAACGGTGGATTAGAGCTCTATTGTTAACTTTACAAGTCACATTGGTCAATGCGGAGACACATTGTAGTATGAACGACCAGTTCACGGTATTAAAAAATCTCACAATAAGGTATCCTTTTAAAACCAAATTAAACCTTGCCTTCGAGTAAAAAATTTGAAGACGACGTCATTTTCTACCGAATGAGCGAAAGAATGAATAGTTTAGTGCATGTTTTCCACAAAATATATGTAATTGATTTTTAAGGGCTTCGAAAATCAGTAAGAAAAACGTATGCTACATATGCAGTCTCTTTTGCGAAGGGTGGTTTTTACATGCAGCTGGAAAGAAGTTTATTCGAAAGCCGTCTACATGAGGAAACTGAATTATTATAAAATTATGCAGTATAATGTTTAGTTTTACAACCCCACTTAAATAATCTTTTCGAAACGAAAACGCATTTCGGAAGGTTGGTTGACGTTTCATGAATTAGTCCACCTAATGTAAGTGTCAACTTTTAAAATCTCTTACGTGCACGCATTGCGCTACAAAGGAACTTTCATATAATTACTAAAAATACCAAAGAAGCCGACTGTGGCAATAAAAAGTACCATATTTATTTCATGTAATTATGGTTAAGGCGAGTATATAAAAACACATTCTTTTCATGAACCAAGAAATTTGCTCTTTAGAATTTCTATCTAGCAAGATTCCCTGCCAACACATGGCCCCGGGGGCCAGACGGGGCTAGACGGGGCAGGCCTCGTCCAAAGTTTTGTGAATTTCTATCCTTTCTAATGACGTCATTCTGCATTATTTTAGACAGATTTCGCTCTCTTATCGTTAAATATAAGCTTTTTAGCTTGCATTCACTATTGTAAATGAAGGTGAGTAACATATTGTTCACGTAAGGGTTATGGGTGTACAGCGATCAAAAGTTGAATAGTATAACCTCCTCTACGGAGAATTAGGAAAGGGCAAATACTGGTAACGTAAATGTGGAGATCTCCTTGCTCGAGCATGGCGCCCAGCGTTCTACACTATGAGAGCAACAACCCAATCTCTCACAGACCGAGCACTATAAAGGACTTGCTTCACTGAATAAAATCACTCTTTCGACCAATAAAGCTACGGAATAGAACTAAACTATCCGTTTGAATTATTTTTCCAAAATTATTGCTCAAGAGATTTTGCGTGCCGATGCATGGAGAAACAAGGGTTAAAAAGGAAGTAACTAGGCAGCTTCAAGCAGCCACCCACAGCAAATACGCGGCGAACCCTCACTCACTTGGTGAATTATTGCATGTTCTCCTGACAAACTACTGCCCGCTTTCACGGAAGGGGCAGTCTCTAAAGGATGACCTAACCCATGTCTTAGAATGCGCCAAACTTGATGAGCCGAACCCCTCGAAACTGCTTCGGGCTGTCGCACAAAATCGGCGAAACACGCGTGTTTGGTCTTTTAGCTTTGATCTGTGTTGTCAGTATGGTAAATAATTACACAATTCTAGACACTACGCACCTTTTAAAAACAAAGTGATGTTGTATAAAAGAAGTTATAGTAGAACTAAAGTTCCTACTTAGTTAAAAGATGGTATATTCACAATACACATGTCGGTGACGTTCATCGGTTCATCCTGATTGCAGATCACTTCTTCTGTAATCTCGTAAACAGAGTTCGCAGGCGAAATTACTCATATTGAGACCACTAATCGCCCTGACTTTGGTTAAAGTTTGACCGGCAGACTTTGGCAATTAACGCGTAAAGGGGCAGTTCAGTTAATGTCCTTTCATCCTTAAAAGGTTGCACTGTGTACGCTATCAGGATTTGTCAATGGTTGAAATCCACCAAATAATATCAGTTACGTTCCTTGCAGAGATAGCAGGTGGTAAAACTCTTCCACTCATTAATCATAATTTGTTGTCGTTGAGAGTGATCAACTAGAAGCCATCCATGCATCATCAATTCAACAATTTCGGGAAGTATGTTCACACTGGACGAGGAAGTCGACAATAAGCTCCAATTTTTGAATGTTCTCGTACAACGCAAAACTGACGGAACATTACACGCATCCGTTTACCGCGGAGGAATTTATGCGGAAGTCGTTCTACACTAAAAGAGCAACAACCCAATCTCTCACAAACAGAGCACTGTAAACGGCTTGCTTCACTAAGCAAGATCACTCTTTCGACTAACAAAGCTACGGAATAGAACTAAACTATCCGGCTGAATTATTTTTCCAAAATCATTGCTCAAGAGATTTCGCATATCGATGAATGGAGAAACAAGAGTCAAAAGACAAGTCATTAGGTAGATTCAAGCAGCCACCCGCAGCAAATAGGTGGCGAACCCTCACTAACATTTATTCTGTGTCTGAACCCGTTGACAAGCAGATTATTGACTGCCTTACGCAATCTGCATAAAATGGAAGTCGTTTATAGGACACCTTGCAAAACATGCGATGGCATATACTGTGGCTAAACTAAAAGGTTTGCCTCAACGTACCTCCATGAACATCAATAAGACGTTATGATTCGATACCATCCTTTTCAAATGAACATGCACACATTAGATACTGGGTACACTTAAGATAAGTTACCTATGTCATGAAACCTGAAAACCGAAACTGATGTGAGAATTTATGGACGTTCTTAACTTTGCGAATTTTACTTACTCATCCAGCCTATTAAATGAAATGTTCTTTTCTTATGCAGGAATTATATTCCCGTAATTATATCCAGAAAAATTTTAATAAATTTTGCGAAAATGGGCATTGCAAAATATGCATGCAGTCTCCTGCCCTAGGCGCCGTCCACACTGGTGAAATCAAACGGAATTACGTTTTTCATGTTGAGCCGCATCTCATGCAAATCAAACGAGTTAAGAATAACATAAGTTTCAGAAAGACTGCCCTGAAATCTATACTCAGAATGTAGGCTGTTGACAAAACTTGATATATGAAGTCATATTGATTCTTAAGGGATATCTGGATGCAAGCTTCACTAAAACATTATTTTTAAACATTATTAAATTTGTGATTTTATATGTACTTCGGTTTTGTGATGAGAAGACATTCTTTACATCATAAAAACAATATTTACTGAATTTCAGCTATATTTGAAATTTTCGAAATTTTGCGCTTTTCTAAAAAACGGCATTTCGAAGCAACACAACACTGCCTTTAATATTTCTTTCAAGTTTTAATTCTTTTAAATCTGTACTTCATTAGCATAGATATTGGATCTATGCATTGGCGTCGGTTTGCGAGTGATTGAAAATCATTCGTAAATTTCGACGCATTCCATGAGTTAGGTCACATTCTTTAAATAGGACAAGACGGCACTTACACACGGCACAATGTTGACTAGTAACAGTTCAAAGCCCAGTAGCAGTTGACCAGCCAACTCTGCGGCCAACGTTTTATGAACCACTCCAGTTGCTCCGATCGGGCGTATGGATGGAATAAGAAGCGACTTTTACAACGACAGCGTGCTGCTTTTCTTTAATTCCCAAGATTTTGATTGAGGCCTTTGACACAAGTACCAACTGAAAACAGAGGACCTAATCTTCATTTAGTCTAAGACGTCTTCTTAAATGCAAAAAAACAATATTTGGAAAGACTGAGATACCTCACTCCTGTCCCTCCGTTGTGCTGAGTGCTGCCAGTCTGTGTGGCATTCTGGTCCTATAGGATCATATTTGACAGTCAAAATGTGCCTTTCGTCGGCTTCACGCCCAACGATCCAGGCCAAATATCCCGCCTAGTCATTCCATGCAGAATATTAGGGGCATATTCCAGTTTGGGTCACTGGGGCGTTGAAGTGGACATTTTTCACAAAACTATGTGCTTCAACTTGCTCTTCCCTCATAACTCAAAAGTCGGCTAATTTACGACTACAAATGCTTTACTGAAATATTGTCAGTAACTGCTTCTGAAATTATGGTGCGTGCACAGATGTCAATTTCCACACTGGTCCATGAATCTGGTCGTTATCGAAGCCGGCGCTCACCTTTCCCATAAAACAGGCAGACTATGCAGACTGTCCAGTCGTTCACAAAGTCTCTTAAATCAGAGTTCATCCCAGAAATCTATGCCTGATGAAATAAACGTTAGGTGCCACTACTAGAATGATAGCATTGGTTTGGATTTCTAAACTTGAGTCCTTGCGCATGCCATTTGCACACCACAACGCCTCCCAGGCACACAATTTAGCTTTTGTATCCGAGGAAATTACCGTCTCGCAGTTTGCCGAAATGGCTGGCCATATTTTTCAGTTTCAGTGTCTGGCTTCTTTAGCGGTTTCGCACATCCCACGGCCTGACTGAGATCAAGGCACAGATAGCCGAATTATCGGCGACTGTTTCGTCTTTGCAGCTACACCACTCTACACCGCACATTTCGACGTACAGTTAGCCGAAACGGTCGCCAATCCCGCTCTCACCCGAGCACTAATAACCCCTGTTGGTGTCGTGACAACTTCGGTAGCAAGGCCGAGTGCTCGGTCCCGCCTTACGCCTCTAAAACCTCTCAGAAAAATCCCTCGTTCGGAGGATAAACGCAGACGACACTCCCCCCCCCTCCGCCTGGCTCTCGTTCGGTCGCAAAAATTCCCCAGAAAGCTCGTTGAATTTCGCGGATTTCATAGGCAATCACTTTCCTCGCTCCCTCTCTCCTGTAATTTTTTTATTTTCTCTTACATCTCCCCGTCTCGCACAATAAGTCTGGGATTGCGAAGTTTGCCGATAACATCGTCCCTGTTGAAAAGCAGGCAGCCATAACTTCATCCCGGAGTCCACTGAGATCATCTACCCGGCATGTCCAGCCGACTGCTTCGTCCCACTTCAACATTGCCGCCACATGCTGATATCCCACAATCTTTTGTGCCAATGCCCGTGTCTGCATTTTCCCCCTGTTTCTTTGTCTCCCTGCAGAGCAAACGGGTCAGCCCAAAGGTTAGTGCGTTCAATCTCTCTGGTAGCTCTAGCCCTGGACGCGCCTTCTACTTCCGTGACAATCGGAGTAACAGACATTTTTGGTTGATAATGGTGCGGAGCTATGTGTCATCCTTCCCACAGCATCCAACCGGTCACTTCTTCCGGGCCGTTGACATCTCTCCACTCGCCATCTTCGGTAGCTGACTTCTCTCCTTTTCTGGGCACCAGCTTTTGGTGTCTATTCCCTTGGGTCTTTGTCATTGCCGACGTGCGGGGAAATTTTATCGCAAATCTGGATTATCCGGTCGACTACCGTCGGTCTCACCCGAAAGACCAGACTATCAAGCTCAACATCTGCGATTTACCTCATTATGAACCGTCCCACCAACTTGCCTTCCTGGACCCTGTCCGAGATAGCCCATGTCGACAGCTCCTTGATAGATACCTTGGTATCACCTGTCGTACCTTCACGGCCTGACGTTGTCCACCACATTCCTACGGCTGGCCCTGTTGTGTTTTCTAAGTCCCGCTGTCTAGCGACTGCACGACTGTCGGTCGACAGGGCCGAGTTCAAGCCGAGGCTTCAGATGGGCATTAACCGTCAGTCTGAAAGCGCATAGGATCCACGTCTCCGCATGATTCCAAACCGCCGTCACTGGTGACTGGCGCGCCTGCGGTGACTACAGAACCTTGAACAACGTAACTATACCCGACCGCCAATACCCTAGTCGTCAGCTCTGTGTTCTCGAAGATCGACTTGGCCCTTGCCTTCCACCTGATTCCCCATCGCCCCGGAGGATGTTTCAAAGACGGTCGTCAGCGCTCCCTTTAACCACATTGAATCGCTGCGCATGTCATTTGCACACCACAACGCCGTCCAGGCCTTCTAGAAATTCATAGACAGTGTGCCTCATGGTCTCCCTTTTGTGTATCTGTGTTGTCAGTATAATCAATAATCATACAGTTGTATATTACTGACTGCCTGCTGGATGTTTGTGAATATTACGCGGCTGGTTCGCAGAAACTGGTGGATTCTAGATCAATTAAATCAAATTCCGGACCGTGCCTGAAAAAGATCTGTTCCGAAGAATTTGCTCCAATTTCGCGCATTGCTTTCCGCGGAAATTAAAGAAGGCAAGGTGAAACTGAAGTTCATATACCAGAAATTACACGACGAAGGCTGGGGGACCCACTGATGAGCCAAACCCCTCGCAGCTGCGTCAAGCAACGGTACAATATTGGCGAAAACACGCGTGTCTGGGCTTTTAGTTTCTACCTGTGTTGTCAGTACGGTTAATAATTTCGCATTTTTAATGTTTTTTGATATCCTTCATGAGTTGACCGAATAAGGACGCTGTTTAGAGTTTGTGTCCTACTGTGCCTTCGAATTGCCAAAGAAACAGAGCGAGTGCTTAGGGACGGGGGGAGAAATGGTGAGCTTGTTGAAGCACGAGTCCTCTGCGTCGTAAATAGATCCGCGTGTAACTCACCACTGTCATGGAGCACGGTCTAGTCATTTGTACCGGATTTGTCAACCGACTCACATTCGCAGCATTTTTAAACACTCCGCCCTACTAGCCAATCCATGTTGAGAAGAAAAATAAGACCTGTTTGACCATTTATTACAGAAGAATATTCCCACTAAAGTTATCTAATGAAAAACCGGTAGTGACCATAAGCGTGCGTGCGTGCGTAAATTCAGCATAAATAGTAAGCAGTTTTGTAAGAAAACGTGTTCTGAACTTGTAAGCAGATTCCGTGGCAGAAATTTGTCAAACATCTGCACGACGCTTGTTGAAATCTGCGGCTGCTTTATTTTTCTCAGCTGGAGACTTGATATGCGGAGCTTTGCCGTTTTTAGTAGTGGAGACGGATGGAGAAGCTAAAATGGAGAAGTCGCATTACAGTAATAAAATTATAGGCCAACACAAGTGCACGCCAAATGACTGGGAAAAAAATCCCCAATCTCATGAAATCAAAATGGCACGTCGTCGTGGGAGGACAAATAATGCATAAAAGTAAGTGGAAGTGTGAAGCTCTCACTTGACATATCTTTGTGTGAGCACCCTGCAGTTGCTTCTTCACAGGCCTTCTGCGTCAGAAAATTGTTTGCATTTGGGTTGCAACCGCCAAATGTGAAGTTTCTGCACTGTCCGATTTTACTGTCGTATCCATATCGTATGTGGATGGCCCGACACCTTCCGGCTTCCAGGGACGTATTGCATATATTCGTGGCGGCTGAATTGTAGGGATTTAGCTGTTAGCATGATTGATTATTTGAACTGACTACTATTCTACAGGTTAGGCTTGAGTTCTAGACTAGGAATTAGGAGGGGCACAAGTTATCTATTCACGGCGCAGTGAGATCTTGATACTTGCAACACCCACAGATACAGTACATCAACTATCTCCTGAAACCTGATAACAGAAACTGAAATGAGAATTTCTGGACGTCTTAAACGTTGTGCATTTTGCTTGCTCATCCAGTCACTTCAGTGAAATGTCGTTTTCTTGTAAATGAATTTAGTTCAAGTAATTATATTAGGCGAAGTGTTTATAAATTCTAGCGAAAATGGACGTTTCGGTATACTCCTGCAATGCCATGCTAATTCCTGTCCTAGACTTCGGTTGGGCATCTGAGTGGCTTTTTCATTGAAAGCAGAGTAATTTACCCGCAGGGGTCTTAATAATCAGAAGTTGCCAGACCTAAATATTTATCTTTTTCCGGATTTATGGTTGAGGAACGTGAAACAAACGGCCAAAAGTGTCAAATTTGTTTTTTCTCGGCCTCACTGCAAAAATGCAAAGTACATAGAGATCCGTTAACAAAGTGCAGTATTGAAGCACTTCTTAAAGGAGTAGCTTGGAAGAGAAAGTTTTCTAATTAATCGAATGGATATTCGTTGCTGACTTTCGTTGTGGACGACCATTATACTTGAAAATGAAGTTTTATGTTTGAGTGAGTCCTTACATTTAAACCAAACGACGTCCGTCATGAGAAAAAACACCCAAACACTCGCTAATTTGGTAACTGCCTTCAAACAGTACGTTATTTTAATGTTTTTAACAGATAAATGTCACAGAATCTATTTTTCTGGTCAAATCGCATCTCATTCAAGTTAAAGGATTTAAGAATTCCGCGAATCCCTAGAAGAGTGTTTTGGAATCTATATTCGGACTGTAGGCTGTTGACAAACAGTGATATATGAAATTATACTAATTCTCAAAGGATATCTAGGTGCAAGCTTCACTAAAACATTATTTTTAAACATAATTTTATTTGAAATTTAATATTTACATTGTTTTTGAACAAGACGACATTCTTCTTTTATCAAAAAACGAGATTTACTGAATTGCAGCCATTTTTGAAGTTTTCGGGATTTAGCGCTTCCCCAAAAACGGCCATCCGAAGCAACACAGCACTGCTTTTTGTATTTATTTTATGTTTTTGAGTCTTTCAAAGATGTACTTAATTAGCATAGGTATTGGATCTATGAATTGGTGCCGGTTTGCGAGTGAGTAACAATCATTCGTAAATTTCGACACCGTCCATGGGTTAGGTCATCCACCGTTTGTGCATGGACTGCGAGACGAACAAAGAATGCTGGTTTGATTAGCACGCCCAAGTGACGGACGAGCGCTTTGACTGAATGTCATAAAATTATTCTGGAACGCAAGTTATTTAAATGGAGGGGCGTGCACACAATCAGGCGGGCAGACCAAATCAACCACTCCCAGCGTTGCAAATTAGGAAAACCGTGACCCGATCACTCTGAGGACCCCTCGACCGGATGCATTTTATCCATCCCCCCCCCGCGAATTCCCTTTCCTCACGTAACATAACATAAAAGTGCCAATCCGGATGGGAATCAACCCTAGCTTACACTCAGGCAATTTTATAGGCCAGTAACTGTTATAAACCACATTTGTGCATACATTCGTTCGATTCTGCCATACAGTAGATGACCTAGTTCGTAAAATATCTGGATCGGTATTTAAGTTAGTAGAACTGCATATATTCGGTGCGGTTATCTCTGTTTTGAAAAATGACTGGAATCTAAAAAAGCCCTTTCTTGAAGAACAGGTCACGTTAGCTCAGTTTTAATGAGGGAAAACAGGTCAAGATTAGACAAATTCTGATGTTTCCAGATATCCACGTAATTTTCTATTCTAAGAAGTGTCACCTGTTAAAACCCCCTATTAGTAGGCGTTGCGTCATAAAATAACTTTCATATAACCAGGAAAAATATCAAACAAGTGCACTGTGGAAATGAAAAGTGCTATTTTTACTTCACGAAGATCTGGCTAAGGCCGATTTATAAAGATGCATCCTTTTCATGGAAAAAGGAGACGTTTGCTCTTTACAAATTCCCTTTAGAAAAATTGTCACGATTTATATCGTTAAACACAGTAAAAAGCTTGTTCGAAGGTATTTGTTTTACTACACCGGGAAGTAGTAGGCGTAGACGCACACATATATAGCTCTATACAAATTTCTCAAGGACAAATAGAAGCGAGCGCGGCCAAAGCCGAGGGGATGGTTAAAAACCATTGACGCGCATTGGCGCAGACCTAGGCCAATCAAAGAGTCACTTGTTCGACAGGGTTAAATAGTTAACTGATTTTGTACATAACCCAAAAAATCTGACTACGAGCTGAGGAACCAGACTCGAAAATTTACGCATTAAATGTTATTCCCTCCCAAAAATCTAACTTATTTTCAATATATTGTTCTGTACACGCTGCCACTTTCCTTTGCCACGCCGTACAGCAAAGATGTCGAAACACTTACTATCGGAAATTGACTTTGAGCGGATATGGTAACTGGCAGCCGAAAGGCTGCAGCCTGAGTTGTTAGCTAGTATTTTCAATATTAGGCAGACAAATATTTGGAGAATTATTTTAGACAAGCCGCTGAAGTTGTCCCAAGTGGTCATATATGGGAAGAACTTTTCACGAGAACACACTATACCGACACCAACTTCCAAGAACTGTCGACGCCTGATGGTTTGGATGGCCATCCAATTCGGAGAGCGACCGGTCTTGCGCTCAACAGCGGAGATGCTAAAGAGCAAGGTGTTCATCGACATCGTAAATGATGTCTTCGGTTACAACGACATTCATCGATGCCGAATGGACACTGTGATGTTGCAGGATAATGCCCCTATTCACCGCCCAAAAGGGGTGGGATTCCAATCCAGCTTACGACTATAATCTAATGTTTTGGACAAAGGCCAGCCTCTCCGCCTGCTTTCTTCGGAGCGTTTTTAGTCCTGTTAACAGTCCAGACGTTAATCATATCAAAATTCTTTTTGCATTTATCAAAAGAAAGTGGGACCAAACAAAACGGCATCTTTCAATGGAGAAAAGGATAGCCTTTTGCTTAATAATTTCATAGATCAAACCACCGTAAACAACTTGGTAGTCTCCATGCCCTCTCATCCTACGGCAACATTAGAAGCTAAAGGACAATCAATAAAGTACGATTACGTTGTATTTGTTACTGTTTTTTATCATTTTGTCTGTGTACGACATTTTCTTTCTCTGTTCACAGTTATATTAGGCCTTGAATAATTGACCCATCATATAGTCGCTTTTTGAGTCGGTGGTTCTTCCTAAAATAAGTCCCTTCTTAATCACTAAATAATACTCTGTAGATTAAACTGTGCCTTGTTTTGAACCTCGACCGTACATCTAACGCAGTATAACTTTCGTGGATGCGGTGTGGGCGTTTCGTGTGCCATAGCTATTTAAGCTCACAGTTCGTGATCCTTCATGAGATAATTCATTAACCGTGCGTGTTCATACGCATTTCAAGGACAAGGGAAATTCAGCCGACAACATAAACTACTGTAACATTCTGCGACTGTAGTGCCCGCTAGTTTTCAAGAACTGCGTCAGAATAGTTGAAAATGAAGGGGGCTGTTGGACACTGTTTAAAGCTAAACTCTGGATGGGTGATTCTATACTTAAAGCACAGGTATTTGATAGAAGCCCATACACGCCTGATTCGCCGATAGTCTGCCGCTGCATGACACAGCTGTGCGGGGTTCGACTCATCAGTGGGTCCCCTAGCAATCCCTGTCTGCTTTCGGGTAGATACTCCAATTTACAAACTGTTGCTTTGTAATTTCCTTAGAAACTAACTGCGAACTTGGAGTAGGTCAGCATATTTAAAGTCTATAGGCTCAGACCGAGAATTTTTAATCATAAGTATTTTGGCCAAAGTCCATCAGCCACAGCGAGTAACCGCATTCTATTCGTTAACGGCCAACAGGCAGTTAGTAGTATACTTTAGGGTAAGGTGATTCCATACTAACAGCACAGGTAGTAGCCAAAAGAGCAAACACACGTGTTTCTATTTTCATCTCTTTTTTCGTCTAATGCCACCCGATATCCAGGATTGGTGGGGTGGAGAGGAGTATTTGCATTGCGGCCTTAGTCTTGGCCGAATATGAATTTTCAATAAAAAAGGGCAACACAATTTTGGGGCAGGTATTCCGAAAACCCGATATTAATAAACAGACCCTAAATAATACTACTAGCTGCCTGTCAGCAGTTAACGAATACTACGCGGTTACTCGCCGTGGCTGATGGACTTCGACCCAAATATTCATGTATTTTAAACTTCGACCTGAGCCTACAGACCTTAGATACACTGATCTGCTCTAAGTTTGCAGTAATTTTCTAGGGAAATTATAAAACGATAAAGTTGAATTTTGCACCTACCTTCGTTTGCTGAAAGCGCAAACGCTGCGACCGAGAGGAGAAGAATGAGGATCAACATGATTGCCTTGAGTTTGTTTGTCTTATCCCGCGTTTCCTTTTATATCTCTTTCTGCGTAATGCCCTGGGTTTGGACTGGGCGGGCGTTAGCCAACTTTTTGCCTTTCTAGGACGACACATGTCCAATACTGACGGATGTGCCTGTCACCTGATATCCAGGCAAGTCTAAGGGGCGTTCTTCTGCATTTCTCTTGTGTCAATCTCCTCAGTGGTGTGGGGAGGAATTTTCGCACTTTGGCACTAAACTTAACCTCTTTTATCCTCAGGAATATGAATTTTCAGTAAAAAAAGGCAGCACAATTGCGATGCAACTATTCAGAAAATTCGGTATTGTTAAACAGACACTATGCATTGCCATGTTTTATTTCCGAAGGAATAACTGCGCGAACTTGGAGTACATCCTTCGGAACAGACCTTTTCAGGCCAGTTCCGGAGGCTGATAAGAATATTTGAGCTGAAATTCATCAGCTACTGCGGAATAGCCGCATAATATTCACAAACTGCGCAGAAAGCAGCCAGTGATGTAGGAGTGTGTCATTATTTACCTTACTGACAACACGGGTAGAAGCTAAAAGTCCAGACACGCGTGTTTCGCCGATCTTGTGTCACTGCCTGACGCAGCTGCAAGGTGTTCGGATCATCACTGGGTCTCCGAGTCCTTCCCGTGTGTTTCCTGGTATACGAACTCCAGTTCCAACATGTCTTGTTTAATTTCCGAGGAAATTAATGCACGAACTTGATGAGCTGCATCGGGCGGCCGCACCAGATCGGCGAAACACGCGTGTTTGGGATTTTACAGTGCGTTACCGATCTCATGAAATGTTGGCAACAATTCTGGAATGCGTTTTCGATTAGGAAGGATTTCTTAAACGGGGTTGTCATGCTGATTAACATGCAGCTTAACCCCAGAACATTTCAGACTTGCCAGGATGCAGGTCTTCTAATGCACTTCCTTTTGACCTCCTGTGGAAACCATACTCGGTAAAAATGACTACTTAAATAGCATGACTTTTTCCTATTGATTTTTGATGGTCTTATAAATTCCTATATATTTTATAGAAAACGCACAAACTATGCTTTCTTTTGCTCATTTGAAAGGAAATCACACTTCCTCTATATTTTACGCCCTATGAAAGTGTGTATTTAGGCTTTGAAAGAGTTTCCCAATTCCCGAATAATTTTCAGCCTGATCTGCCATTGCATCAGCATTTAGCAATTTCAGTCAACAAAGTGAATGCTTTCCGCGTAAGGAAAATCATATATTGCTCTATGTCTTTAAGAAGAGTTTACATATATTTAGTGAAATTTTGCAATGGATCCTGACTGTCTTGTACATTTCTTGAGGAGCATTAGTAAACGGACATTTGCGGTCTTGCGTGCATAGACACCGCGTGGTCTTAAAAATTTAATAATTAGAAACTTTCTTAAGAGCTAAATTCCCACTTTCTTCGAGTAGAAAGTATTAAAAAATGTGATTCCCTTCCAAATGAGCAAAAGAAAGCATATTTTGTGTATGTTTTCAGTAAAATATATTTGCATTTTTAAGATAATCGAAAATCAACAGGAAAAAGACATGCTACTTAAGTAGCCATTTTTTACCGAGTGTGGCTTCTGTAGGTCGAAAAGAAATGCATTCAAAACCCCGCATCCTGCCAAGTCCGAAATGTTATAGGCTTATGCTGCACGATACTCAGAACAACAACCCCACTTAAGTAATCCTGCCTAATCGGAAACGGATTCCAGTATTTTTGGCCTACATTTCATGAGATCGGTCAAGCACTGTAGTCAGGAAGACCGGAGGCGGGGGAAGGCGCAGGTGGCTACTAATATAAAGAATACAAGCTGATATGCCGATTCTCGCGAAGTACATCATTTTGCATTGTCAGAAAGTTCATTGTAGAGTGAATTAGCCCGAAATGGATCATCTGTGGCTGCGGCATGCGGATGACAAATGTGTTGTCTTTAAAAGCAAAAGCATATATTTCCTAATTAATTTTCGATGCCCTTAAAAATTCAGTTATAATTTGCTGGAAAACATGCATTAAACTGTTCATTCTTTTGCTCATTCGGTTGTAAGTAACGTTTTCTTTAGAATTAAACTCGAAAGAAGGGAAGTCAGATTTAATTGTGAAATTATGTAATACCATGAAATGGCCGTTCATAAAACGTCGCGCCTTTGCATTTACTAATGTGGCTTGTAAATTTAGTTATATGAGTCCAATCCACTGTTAAATTTTTTAAACCCCATATGTTCTCCCGTTAGTACCGTGGAGAAGTATATAATTAACCGTACGCGAAAAATACACGGTTTGAAGATTGAAAACCATGAATGAAGGTGTAACGGCAGGTTGGTTTCAAAATTATTCTGGAATTGGAAACGTTTTTGAAAACCGAATTCTACTCTTCCGTCGAGTATAAAATTGAAAGACGATGAAGTTTTCTACCGACTGAGCAAAATGATGAATATTTTTATGCACGTTTGACATTAAATATAAGTAAATCTTTAAGAGATTCGATAATCAATGAAAAATACAGGCGTGTGGTTTGAAAACCGTAAATGCAAGTTTTCCGGCGTCAGGTTCAAAACTACTCGGGCATTGGAAAAGACTTTAAAACCGACATATTCCCTTCCTTCAAAGATTAAATTGGAAGAAAACGTAATTTTCTACCGAATGAGCAGGCGATTGAATATTTTTAGGCATGTTTTTTATGAAATATAATTGAATGTTTAAGGGGAACGAAGATCAATGAGAATATACATGCTATGTACGTAGTCGTTTTTTACAGAGTGTAGCTTTTGCATTCGGCCGGAAGGAGGTTTGTTCGAACGTCAGCATCCTGAGGTAACTGATTTATTAGAGAACTATGCTACGTAACGATCAGTTTTACAACCCTTTTTAAGTAATCCTTAGGAGACGAAAACGCATTTCGGAATTTCGGTTGACATTTCATGAGTTAGCGTACATGTCACATTTATCTTAAACCCCTCTGCAAAACGAACTTTAATCTACGAAGATCAACTTTGGTTACAAATGACCAACCACATTTGTTCAACGCCTGCACAACAGTACACCGTTTACAGTGGCAAAACTAACGAAATTCTAGTCCAAAAGCAATCTGACTAAGAAGTCTATGACTGAACTTCATGAACCTTTCTGAAGGCAGATTTTATCCAAATATTGCTACATTTATCCAAGCACTTGAATCTGGTCAACCCGTGTTTTCTCAATAATAACCTTATTTCTGCCCTCATAAGTGACTGCACGCAATGAAAACTTTTATGGCTCATTTCACAGGCATGACTGACGCTGACCACGCCTGGATTTAACAACTCTGGTGGCTTTCAATCAAAACCGGTGACCTGCCCAACGTACCAGGACTCAGGCACCTCTCGGTTACTTCGCAATGTACACGGCTCAAAACAACTTCCACAAAATCGTGATTTTCCGTGGTGTTATATTGAATGACTCATCCGAAAGGCCATCTCTAACCGAGAGAACGATGTCCACCATTTGCTTCACTGAAGGATAAAGTAGGCACAGTGACTTGTGCTTGAATTAGTTTATAATGAGAATGGACTTGCGCTGCATCTACCGCACTCTCTCCTCCCCCTCCCCCACCTGGGACTGCCGTCAAGGCACAGTCAAGAAGACCGGAGGTTGGAGAGGACGCAGGTGGCTCAAGCGATAGGAACTCGCATCCAGGTGTAGCGTCATATTCCCTGGTCCACAACAAACACTTGACCAGTATTTTCAGTTTATTTCAGTTCATTTGATAAGGATGATAGGCAAAGCCTTTGAAAACCCTATTGATTACATGTCAGCTCGTTAGAAATAACTGTACAGTAACAATGAAAATATTCGCTATATAAACAGTACTTGATTCATTTGAGTAGCATTGTCGCAGAGAAAAAATATGTGGGGAACCGGGGTATTTAGCTCAGATTCCGACTGTCGAGGGAAAACAGGGGACACAAATAATCATGCAAGCGTTTCTTGAAGAGTTGCAGGGATGTCGCCTCCACGACTGACTGAGGGAGATCGTTCCATTTCTCCACTGGCCTTTGCGTGAAAAATTCAGAACGAAGGTTCAGCCCGGACATTGTTGTCCGTAGCTTCATCGAGTGGCCACGAAGATTGCGTGAAAGGTGCCACTGAAACATGTCCTTAAAACTAAGTCCATGCTCAAGGCCATTTATTATCTTGTAAACCATAATTAGATCACCTCTTTGCTGCCTGTAACACAGAGGGAATAGATTAAGGCAATTCAGTCTGTCCGTGTAGGATTGGTTTTTTAGACCGTTTACCATCTTTGTTGACCTACGTTGCACCCGTTCGAGGCAGGCTTAGTCATTTACAAGCCATGGCCGCCATGCTTGTATGACATATTCTAAGTGGGGCCGAACGAAGGTGCCGTAAACTCTCCCAAAAAGGTCTTGGTCAAAGATAACGAACGCCCTATTGATTGCATGCAGCACTCCCGTGGCGTTTTTTGCAGCCTTGTGGCACTGCAGTGTTGGTCTCAGATTGTTCTGTATCCAAACCCCGAGATCATTCTGTGAAGATTCTGCGGGGAGTCTTATATCGTTCAGATGATATGTCCTCAGGCTCTCATTTGAATGAGAGTTAGTTGGACGCAGATGGAGGACGGCACCCTTCTCACATTGAAGTCTAGAAGCCATTTCTCCGACCACGCTTGCAGTCGATGAAGATTGTTTTGGAGGGATCTCTGGTCGTTAGGACACTTAATGACTTGCCAGAGCTGAACGTCGTCGGCAAACATTATTTTTCCACAGTCGAGTTCCTGAAGGCTGTCATTAACATAAAGGACAGCAACCGACAACAACGCGACAAGAGGTCAGAAAGACGAGGTTAACTGGGAGACCATGCGTACCGTCAGTATACCCAACGGGAGCGCAAGCGCACCTACCGGCAGGGACTCACGGGCCAGAGCACAGGAGTCTGCGAGTCTGGTTTGCTGAATCATGGCATAGCAGTCGCGCGCAATCCTTAAAGACCGGAGGGCTGAGATGTCACTGTTAAATCAGTCTCGAGGTTTTCATCTAGTACAAGCAGTAACAACGTACTATAGCAAACTGTTCAGCGTATAAGGCAATGGATCTGAAGAACACATTTGACACCTGTCATCAGCACGCCGTATGGTAGCTGGACATGCACAGTAGGTGGGCGGACTCATGAAGGGTCAACCAACATTCCGAAATGCGTTTTCGTCTCAAAAGATTAGTTAAGAAGGGTTGTAAAAATAATCATCATGAAGCGTACTTTCATGATGATTCAGTTGTCTCACGAAGCCGGCTTTAAAGGGAGCTTCTTTCTGGCTGCATGCAAAGTCCACACTCGGTAAAAAATGACTACATAAGTAGCATGCATTTTTCTACCTGATTTTCGATGTTCTAAAAAATTCAATTCCAGTTCATGGAAAACATGCTTATAAATGTTCATTCTACTGTTCATTCAGTAGAAATTACGTCTTTTTTCGATTTTATACTCAAAGTAGGGATATAAATCGGTTTCTGATTGTGAGATTTTTTAAAACCGTGAAATGTTGGTTCATAAAATATCGTGTCTCTGCATTTTCCAATGTGGCTTGTAAAGTTAGCAATATGACTCAAAACCACTGGTAAATTTTATGAATCCTATATGGTTTCCTCTCAGCGCCGTGGAGGACTACGTGGTTTTCCGTATGCGGACAATATACGGCTTGTGGTTTTGAAACCCTGAATGCAAGTTTTCCGGCAAGTCGGGTTCAAAACTATTCGGGACTTGGAAGAGTTTTTTAAAACCGACTTGTACCCTTCCTTCGAGGGTAAAATTGAGAGAAGACGTAACTGGCTACCGAATGAGGAAAAGAATAAATATTTTTAGGCATGTTTTCCATGAAATATAATTGAATGTTTGAGCGCATCTTAAATCAATGAGAGTATGCATGCTACACAAGTAGTCATTTTTTACAGTGTATCGTTTTTGCATGCAGCCGGAAAGAAGTTTGTTTGAAATCCGGCCTCCTGAAGTAACTGACTTATTATAGAACTATGCTGATCAGTTTTACGACCCTTCTTTATTAATGTTTTCGAGATGAAAACGCATTTCGGAATTTCGGTTGACGTGAGCTAGCCGACATACTGTACAATAAAATAGGGCTGTTTTTTAATCCTTTATTACAGTTCGGCTAATGGCCTTGTCATTAGGTGTATTGGGTGACGGGACGCTGAGAGCTACTGCATCTCCAAACAGAATTACCAGTCACGCAGAAATCAGTGGCATATAGTTGTTTAAAATGCCCAGTTGCAAAACCGTCGGTCTCAGTTAAACAGCATTCCCTGGAACCGTGATGTGTTTCCAAAAAATGCAGCATTTCTTGTAAGCGACCACAATGCTAGAGATAAGCATCCAGCTGAACTGATTTTCGACGCAGACTAGGGCTGTAGGCATAAAGGCCTGATATTTAAGCAGAGAAGGAAACAAGGAAATCTTTTTTTGAATTGTAGGCGTTGACAATTGAAGTTTGAGATAAACTTGCGAGGAAGATGTTGCAGTGTATAGACTATTCGGATTTCACCTGGACGTTGTTCCACGCATGGATTCTTCGCAGCTTATTCCTTTCAGTTACCCTTGACGATGAATGGGTGTTCGGATTTTCCTATCAGAGAGATCACCGAACTCGAATTTGCCTTTGGACTCCGCATGGTACTAGAGTTGCGAAAATTTCCATTGAGTAACTTGACAGACAATTTGGCGAGCATACATATACCTTCGACAAATTATCTTCAGGCCTGTACATTTATATGACCGTCGAATTAATGAATCAAGAGGTACGGGCAAATAGATAATTATGTTGTAGCTCGGATTTGGTAGGGGTAGGGTAAAAAACCAAAATTCCAGTCAACGCCATGGAGAAGGCGGACCCCCGGGAAAGGTAATTATATGCGGGTGTCTGGGTTGGTGATTTTGAACCGTGACAACTGTGGGACCTGTTTGATGTTCTTCTGTGCACACGGGACCAGTTCGCGTGGCCCGAAGAAACGAGCAAAATACGACAAAGTGAAAAATGCGTGAGAGTAGAAAAAACTACAATCTACAGGGCAAAGCCAAATTTGGCACATGGTCTAGTTAAGTGCTCAAGTTGGGTTTAACCTTTGGCATGGAGGTCGCTTCAAAGGAACCCAAGGCCGGATGTGGTTATGTAGCCCCTCCTAAGGTAAACAAACCCCAGTCACCTCTAATACGGGACCGGTGGTAATAAGAGTTTTTACAAGTGGTGCCCGGTAACGCGCAGGCGACGAGGTCAAGTAGTTTTATGCAAATGAAAAGCTATTGGGAATGCGCGAATGTATTTTGAGTGGTTGAGAAATAGTTTCCCTGACTCCTAACCCTAACCCCAAACTCTAACCTCTAACCCCTAACTCTAACCCCAACAGTATTCTGTCCTTCAGGTGAGGCTATATAACCACATCTTACCGAACTCAATAACTGGACTCTCAGAACAGTAGGAAAGATTGCAACGCCAGGTTTAGGCCAACCGAAGGTTTGGTATGAAACGTATGCTTGGTTACTGACGATGTTTGGCAGTTTCTGACCTCAAAATTCATGTGATTTGTGGCTAAGTTACAATAGATGTTCAGAAAGCAAGGACGATTGTCACCGTATGGGTTAAGGAAAAACATAGCCGCTTGCCTCGATTTGGCCTTTTCCTCAAACCTTTCGATGACGACTGTCCGTTTCATTTAAAATAAATCACCTTTCTGACGTACAGTTCTTAATATTTAACGTGACGGCACCGCAATTATCATCTTGTTTGGAAATCGTTAGCTATTTTTCGACTTACAGTCAAAAAAGTATTGAAGAGTAGCTCAATTGGATTCAGTAAAAGAGAAACAGTACCGGCGAAAGTCTAGGTACACTACCTGATTTGGTTGTTAGCAAAAGTGAGGATTTTTCATCCGTGTGTAGGTTACTTTACTGGATCGCAGGGTGTGTGGGTTCTTCGTACCACTCGGAAAACCAGGATTGGGACCGCAGAGCGGCGCTTTCGCATAGGGGAGCGAAGGTTGCCTCTGAATCTAAGCAGCAAATGCTCAGCCGACCCAGCTGCCGGTTGCTTTAGCGTTCACACAGTATATTTGCATCCAGACCAACTAGCACATTCAGAAACGCGCTTGTTCAAAAAGTACCTCCTATCTGATGCAGTCTGTGATGATGAATTTGAATGTGGATCCGAAACGTCAGGCGAATAAAACTCTTGTTTTAGTGATCACGTCTTCATCTTCTCATCTGATTTCCAGAACTCGGGAGAGCCATACATTCCTTTGTGCGTGGTGACTTCGAGGTCGCCGGATCTCTTCGGGTATGACAAGGAATTCCAGGGAATATGGCTTCTGGTCATGTTAGGTCGTGATTAAACCTTGATACTAGTTCTGAGAGCTGATTGGTGTCAGAGGACGTAGTTGGTTCCGATTTCATGTGGCTTCGGCTTACGGATCGACACACAGAATTCAAGTCGTCTGGACAGTGCCTCAGTTCTTGACACATTTATTTTACTGTCAGAGGTATCAACATGCCTTAATCTGAAATCAAACAGCGCTCTAGTTATCCTTTGTGTGATAAACGAGTGCCTTACGAAATTCAACCGAGAGAGAAGCTTCTGATATCGAGAACATGCCCGTGAAATGCATGCGCGACTTCATGTTGTAAACGACTTGAAGTGGATTCTCTGTCCTGGTGATTGCCAAGTAGTTGTGGCGCGGTTTGTCTCGTCGCAAAACTTGGTAACGTACTCCTTGAGGTTTGATATTAGGAAGTGACACAAAGTAGCTGAAACGCACTCACGAAATCCGTTGCTATCAATTAACGCAGTCATGTACGCCTATTTTTAAATCTGTACCGGTACTAAAATGCTCTACGTTAAGTTCCGCTATGATACACATGTAAGTACGTGCGCTTTCGCTTATTCCTCACCCGGCTTGTACAGTAGGATAATGGAAGACAGAGTTGCCAAAATTTAAACAGCCAGCAAACAGTAAATATGGGGGAGAGGGTTGAGGACGTCCAGAGTTCAGAGGTTATAGTGTCCGGAAATTAGCTATGTCTCTGTTTCATCGCCGTAACGTGAAGCGGCAGGTCTGATGGTGAATAATCGGAAGCGTACGTCGACTGAACTTTTCTTAAATGACTTACATTACTCAAACAGTAACTCCCGCCAGGCGTCTTGCGATCCCTGGAAAGACTTTTACGATTAAGACGCAAACTAACGATTAAGACCAAACAGATATCCAAGTTCGCGGACCCAAGGAAACAGTAAGGAATAGTGGGAGAGACAGATACTTGTGTATATGCCTGGCAAAGCTCATGAAGTCGTTCCCTTTGTTAATACGAACTTTGGGTTCATGGAAAATGGGTTCTGTTTTGAACGACTCGAGTAGATTTCGAGAAGGGAACATTAGGATGGGATAAAACCAAAAGCATTGGAAGATAAGAACCCACTTGTCATACGTAACGCTGATGTAATTTTATCCTCACTGCATTCCAAGTGGTCATTTTTGTTTGTTTGCTATGCTTTCAAAAAGCACAGAATGATCGAAGCTATATTGCGACAACACGAGGCATGCTCGTTCTAAACTGTGGATTCAAATATTTTTATTAGAGACAAAGTTTATTACGTACATTGCTGCGTTCTTAAGTAAGGCATTAGGGGGTCCAATGCACCTCCGCTGACCATCTGAATATTGATAACTATATTCTGTCAGCATCACGGTGATTTTTCGCCTTTATAATTTAAGACTCTGAGTTGGCTACTATCATTTATTAAGTAAGGGTGTAAATTACGACGTATTGATTGGGAAGCGAGGCGATCGGTATCTGCCCATCGTGATGATAGCATTCCGAGGGAATCTGTCTCTCTAGCGGCATAAGGACAACTCAGTTCCAACATGGCTTTCTTGAGTTTCCCTACCAGGATGTTTATCTTCCTTCATATCATTCTGCTAGGTGAAATTTATCCTGTCGCTACTTAGGGGTAAAATGCAACTGGGATATTTAATACGCTTACGGTTACATCGGAGGAAGTGCATCTAAGCTGGTTAAATCTTTTTGGCCGGCCAACTCCATGTTAACGAAATAAAGCATGTTTCTAGCCCTTCGCTCACATCGCTGGCATCACTATATGCTCGAAAAGATTGCTGGTGAACTTTTTTCGGCGACTCACTCTGTCCACTGGCTCTAGAATCCAGAACGAGGTCGACACTCTGAAGGCACATTTCCCTACAACTCATGCAACAGCCACTAATGTCCCTCAGCTGGTGGTGGTCGCCGTCAAGTTGGACGAATGATCTTTCATGTGTGTCCGGGTTGTCTCATTTACCAAGCGATATTCATTCTAGCCCGAAATCTGTTTGCGTACAGCTCTCATGTCTGACTCCGCAAAGCTTCCCCGGACGTGGCGACCAATTCACAATATTCGTCGCAGTATACGGCCAGACCCGGACTACCCCAACAGACTCCAACGGTCGTGGGCATGAGTAGGAGTTTTGGCACCTATACATGGGGCCTTTGGGCCACACTGACCATTTCGTCCAATGATATGACCAGTCGTCATACAAAGGCCCCGTCACGATGGGGGTGGGAAGAGGGTGACTCCAATCTACTACCACCCATGCCTCCGGCCTTTGAATGGTGAAGGCCTAGGCAAAGTGCATAGTGTGTCTCAACCTTATGGGCCTCAAGGATTGTACGCATACGCTATGCCATGATTCAGCAAATAATGGCCCTCGCAGACCGGTATGCGCTGGAAATTCTCTGTAACCCGATTCCTTGTCGGTAAATAGGCTTGCGCTTCCACTGGGCATACAGGCTGTGTGCATGGTTACTCAGTGACTTGTGTTATCCTCTCTCTCTCTGACCCACTTCTGTCGTTGGTTTAAATCCTGGTCATCATAAATAGGCAGGCAGTCACCTGACTTTAAGAGCGGACTTGTCAAATGAAGCCAAACTTCTAGAGGAGGGCTCGTGTGAGCAGACAACAGCTTGTATTCTTGTCGGCCAAAAGTGCCATTCGAAGTACCTACTTTTCACATCTTGGGGTCAGCAGAGCCGAGTCTTTAATCATCCTCAGCAAAAGCCTGCGGTGATCGACCTGGAATCGACATTAACTGTTGAATCGTCGTTATGTTGTTTTCCGTAAGGAAAGTTTTCGAGTACAAAACCTAGTATTCGTCGGCATCAATGCACTGAACACTAACGGACATACGGCGGGTTTCCCCGCACCCACTCCTGTCGACTTCCAACTCGCTATGAACACGTAAGAGTCTGCCGACAGGCGTCAATGGGGATCAGCTGCTGAACTGCTTGTTCCACGACTACTGTCAATGTTCATCACCCGAATTTGAAGGCACTACCACAAAGGTCCCTAAAATTAACAACGAAACTGCTGCCCGAATCTTCAGCTCAAGGCGAGTGTGACATCCCTGATGTCAATTCCTTTTCGTCTCTTTTGTTAGTCTCTGTTTGTTAGTAACCAGACTTTACTCACACCATGCCTTTGTCTCTGTACCCCTATTCGTCGGTTCTCGTAATTCTTTGTTCTTTGTCCATTGTCTATTGCTCTTCGTCTCCGTTGGCTTTTAAACCGACCACCACACTTTGGCGTCATTCGCTGACTGCTCGTCCAATCACCTCAAATGTACGTCCACTTTTCAATTTATTCCCCGCCTTATTAACTCTATCGTGCTCCGCTAATCATACTGTTTATTGCTTCAGAACTACAAAGAATAACCGAGTTATCCCGATTGTCTTCTGACATAACTTTGACCTCGGGTGCGTCTATTCCGGTGAATAAACCAGCACTGCACCGAGAATATCTAAGGGATACTAACAGTGGGCGTGGGGCATATTATGTACTGAACTTACTACTGACATTACATGTCAAGTCACGCACATCTGCACAAAGGACGTCCCCTGACATTCTCTTTTATCAGGACGTTCTCGGCAATTTGCGTATGCTCTCGAACGACCCACCAAGTGAACGCTTATCCACTTGGCTCCACGCGTCTGTCTGGCCGGATGCGGAAGGCTTGTAAAAATAGCAGCAGCATTAATGAGACTTCTGCCGCTTTATCCCTCATGCCTGGTCTCACCTGTCTCCTTGAAGACAGCCACAAGGATGGACGAGTCCAGTCTTCATGCGCAGTTAATATTCCCATGAAGAAATAATGGGCTAGGATAGAGGTCAAGGTTGTAATTAGGACTAAATTCAAACCAACCTAAGGACCTGTGAGGCCGTTAACTACGTTGTTGCTTTTCAATTTCCTCAGAAATAAGCTGCTAACTTGAAGTAAATCAGTTTACACAGAGGTCTATAGGCGCAGACCGGAATTTGATGTGGGATTATTTTGGCCGAAGTCCATCAGCCACGGAGCGATATCCTGTGACGCTGAAAGATATACCACTAGCTGCCTGTCGGCAGTTAATGAATACTACACGGTTTTTCCCCTGTGGTTGATGGACTTCGGCCCAAATATTCCTACATTAAGTTTCGATCTGCGCCTATAGACAGTATATACTGATTTACTCCAAGTTAACGGTTAATTTTTGAGGAAATCTAAAGGCACCAATCTCCAAACTGGAGTACCTACCAGAAGGCCCACAGGGACGGCTGGAGGACTCATTGGTGGGCCGAACCTCTCTCAGCTGTGCCATAATGCGGCAGAATATCGGCGAAACAAGCGTGTCTGGGCTTCTAGCTAGCACCTGTGCTGCTAATATTTTACAATGGCTCCTGTTATCCCAAAGATATAAGCTCCTACAAAGCCTTAATTTCCTTTCAGCTGCTTCCAGTGCCACTAACCGAGCAGATGGTCGTAGCTTGCTGAGAACCAGTACGTCATCAATCAAATGACCAATCCCAGATCAGTTTGCGTACCCACCAGCACAGAAACTTAGCGGATGTAACGATCTCCGCTTCGCATTCGATTATAAACAAGTGGTCCCGGAAGCCAGGTGTTGCTATAGTTACTTACAATTCAAACTGTAGCATGTCTAATTGCGCCACAAGATCTCTATGGCAATTCCTTTAAAGCAACTTCCATGAAAATGGGTCCACAGAGACGGCGAAGAAGTTGATGTGGGCCACGGGACTTTTGCATAGGCGTTTGCCATTGGCTTGTTGGCGTTGGGTGAACGTTTGCAGCCACCTGAGTCAATTCGCAAAAAGTAGAAAATGGTAATATAGTGCAGGAAAAGAAAACTCTGTTTCTCAAATTCCCCTTTCAAGAGGACGCGGCGAGTGAGCTCCTGAGAAGGCGCCCTGACCAGGCCGTTTCACGTACCTTCCCGGCAGCAAGAGTTCAAGTATTGTTTTCGACCAATCCCATCTTATGCGACGAAGGTAAGGATAGGTTACCACCTCAGACCACCTTTATGCGCATTTACCCCCTTACTTGGTCCTGTGGAGCAGGCTACGTTGGTCGTACGAGTCGGCGCCTATCGGCAAGAATACGAGAACACCTGCCGGCATGGCTGAGGAAGGGTGAAGTTAGTAGCATACACGGCTCCATCCTCGCACACATGGTCAATTCTGTGCACTGTGTGGATCTCAACAAAGCTTTGCGTGTGATTTACAGGGTCCCATCTAACTACCCTAATCGACTGGATCAGCGCTTACTTGCAGCAGCAGCAGCAGCAGCAGCAGCAGCAGCAGCAGCAGCAGCAGCAGCAGCAGCAGCAGCAGCAGCAGCAGCAGCAGCAGCAGCAGCAGCAGCAGCAGCAGCAGCAGCAGCAGCAGCAGCAGCAGCAGCGACTGTCATCAGGCTATTGGCCGGTCCTGTGCTCGCAGAAGAACCTCTTGCACGCTCTGCGTCTACCGTGGGCCAGGATCGATTAAATGTGTGCATGTCTCCGCGCCCCCGTCCCCTCCTCTCCAGCTTCCATTGTAACATGTCTCTACCTAACCCTCACTGCCACTGACTGCCTCCTCTCCCTCCTCCCCCACTCTATTCACATACCCAGTTTGTATGAAAGGACAAACCGTAATCGATTGCACTTATCAGTCACACGTTTCAGTTTGTACCTTGTTCACATGCAGGCCCGATGGGAATTTATTGAAAGCCCGCGCAAGCTCGCCAAATGCTCCACGAGGGGTTTTACAACCTTAAAGGCAATCATAATTACTAAAATTGTCTTAGGAAGCCAACCAAACGGTATCAATCAAGTGGGGCTGCAGGGGAAGATCTCGCAATGGGTGGAATCGTAGCCCTAACTAGTTTTTTCTCACAGACGAAGGGGTAAGTAGGGGACAGGGGAGAATACTGCGCATAAACGTTGAGACAATCAAGTCGCAAAATAGACGGCAATAATAATGACATGAAATTCATGGAAGAGGTAAAGAGGAATGCAAGGGAAATTTGTACATGAATTTACAGGGAAGCAGGACATAGGTGAGTAAGTTACTCTGGTGATAGACCATCTGAGCCTACACAAGTCCGTACACCGCCATTACTGTTCTTGTTCTGCTCTTCCTCTTCCTCGTCTTCTTCGTTGGCGGATTCTTCCGGATCCTTCTCTTCATCTTCTTCCTCATCACAATCATCCTCTTCAGAAGGAGGCAACATATCCGCATCCAAGTAGTCCCCAGAATTTTTGGGTTTTACCGATGGCGGAATGAAGGTGAAGACAGCTGGCCTAAGATAAAATTTTCCAAAAGAACCTTTGACATTCATGCTAATCGATAGCTCTATCTAAATAATATAGGTAGGCAGTATTTTATAATGAGACTCGTGTGGCGCAGACAGTTCACAATTAGTAAAAAGAGTGCAGAAAAAAACAGCACAATGCAATAAGACCCCACAGGGTTCACGGACCTCGTAACAGAAACCTTTCAATAACGATGGGTAGGTCCTAAAAGATACGAAAGCGTTTATCACAACAACCATGGACGACTGCATAAACCATGAGTTTCTGCTTAGATCTGGCCACAAACAAGCGTACGTCCTCGGAAATAATACCAACACCGAATTCCGCTGTCTACTAGGCGGTAATAAATACTGGACAGAAACTCTTTTCCGAGGACCAGCACTCAGACTCAGCGGTGGATACACGGTGCTCCTTCTATTCCTTCGGACCGGTTGACTGCGGGCGCCTCAAGTTCAATAGTGGGTTACGCCGACAACCCTTGGCCTCGCGATGAGATGACCCGGAAAAGCAATAATCCCAGTGATTATGGACCAGGACAAATGAGAGGCAGCGTGCGGCTGTCGTTGTTGGTTCAGATGGACAGACTTATCTCTATATTTGAAGAAGAAGAAGAGTCGAGCACCGGAACAATTCGTTTATTATCCTGAGCTTTCAGACTCGTACAGGAGTCCATCGTCAGAGGTAGTGGCAGAAACAGGACAAGCGGCAGTTATAAGGCACGTAGACCCAATCATCGACCGACGTCGCACGACTGGAGGTGACTACGAAGGGCTCTGTACGCCGGCGCCAGATCGATAAATCGATTGACCGAGTTCTCATCCGAGGCCCAGGCTTCAATCAATTCTCGGCCTGTTTTGTTTCCGGCGTGGGCAGCCGGCACTTATGACCTGCGTGAGCCAGATACGCGCAGGAGGGGCCAATGCAGTTGATCATTTGAAACGTTAAAATTCAAGAACACTTCTTCAGTCGACTAAATTCCCTTACGACAGGATTCTTAGGGACTACATCTTCGGTATACGCCACGGTTAGAAGTATGCAGGCATTAAGAAAACCTAAGGAGATATACTAGGGTGAGATAAACTAGGATGAAAGATAAACTATTGGTAGCGGACATTCATGATGGCGGTGGGGGAATGCAGTTAATGAACGACAAAATAATTGGTAGGAGGATCCGAAGATGCCATGTAAAAACCCGAAATAACTATACATTGGCATGAGAATTTTTTCTTTTTATTCCGAGAGCATCCCTGTGGATCGAACCAGATCAAGAACGACTGCGTATGTTAGTAACGACAATTTTACAGCAGATGTGTCGACAAATGGAAGACCACTCACCAGTCGGGACCGCCCATTAATTGCGTGACCTGCTTGTCCGTCAAAATACACCGAATTTCGGCTTTGACCTTGGGATTGTCAAGAGGAGCGCACAAAACGTAAGTATCTACAAAGTCCACGATTAGGTAAAACGTCTGCACGTCTTACTTGGTGCAAAATAGTAGGCATTGCGAAATTTCTCCGGGATAGACACGAGAATCGTTTCGCCGTTATCAGCAAGAGCCGAAAAGAGATAGTTCCCTAGGGATTTTAACAGCTAAGGAACCTGAACATGTTTTAAGGGTAAAAACTAACCAGGTGGATGCTTTCGTCCTCCTTCGGATGAGGGTCATCTCGACAAAGGGCTTGAAACGCGCGCTTGCGCTTAGAAACGCTGCAAAAATTCATAGCTTTCGAGGAAGGGGTGTAACTGTCACAGGGAAAGACGACCTGAACGGCAAGAACGCAGAGACCAGTTGACTTTCGGTCAGACAGGCCTTACATCGAAAAACAAGTGAGACAAACAGTGAGCAATCATGCACTTATAGGATTTTAGGGGGACGTAGCTGTCAAATCAAGATAAACTGTCCAGAACTGTGAGGTATATAAGGATGTACAGAAAGAAGAGCATCGAAATACAGGCCCCAAACACCCGACTGGTTGAACGCTTATGCGCAGTTTGCGGACCAGGGTGATTTGACGTGCAGAAAATATTATGTCGACGGGCATTGCCGACAAATACAAGATTGGAATGGCCAGTTGTCAAACAACCGAAGACAAATGCCAATCGAGTCGATAAATAATTTCTCTAAAGGTGCACTGCAATTATGACGATGAAGACCAATAAAGCCGCTAACGAAGATGGCTTATTCGTCACTGTTCGGAAAAATAGGGTTTATTCGGTCCGCATCTACGGTGAGGTTCGACCCCTCGTGATTAACGGGTACTAAGTCGAAGACCACTCTGTAGCCATAAGAACAGAGTAAGGAAGACATAAACGACCTGACTGATGTTTCTGGGGAGATTCTTGCATACTTGCGAAGCTAGTTATGGAGTTACCGCGACATGCCAATTATCACAATTGTCGTCAACGACGGGTATGGGTGTTGGGCCCTATAAGGCAACTGACCACCGTCTGAGAATAAGTGAAGTAGACAGACACCAGCACAAAATTAGATGGTGAACATTCGCTGCAACAACGTCACGCGAATATCTTAAATCCTTGAGAACTAAATAGTCTGACCATCTCTCCAGTTGAGTCTTCCAGTAAATCCAACGTCCACTTAAAGGCGAAAAAACTTCTACAAAACTGGTTCCTGAATCCTGGGTACCAAGCATTCGTCGCAAGGTCAGGATAGACAGACCAACCGCCGTGCAAAACAACATTTAAAAGGGTATTATGAGTGAGGTCCTCGGAGCGGGATAGGACACTTGCAACCACAATACACGTAAATAACTAGGATCGGACGACATAAGTCAAGGAGCGTAGTGTCCCAGACGCGATAGAATCATCGGAATGTCTGGTATTCTGCAACACGCAGAAACCAGCAAATCTAACCGACAGCCTAAAGGCTGTTCTTGGAAATGTCTACAGCAGGATGGGCTGCAAGCCCGTGGGAATGCACATCCACAATTAAATGCCGAGACTGCGAGTGTGACGGCGGGCCTATGCGCAGGCTCACACGGCGCAAGTTGAGATCCAGGCCGCCCCTTTTCCGTTTTTTTAAAATCCTGGTTAATGTACGTTGTGGACGAGGGGGTGTGGTGGTAAGCATGGGTGCGGGATTTTGCCGTGTCGCCCTCTCTAGCCTCCGGTTTTTACGACTCTGTCTTGACACCCAGTCCAGGCAGGGGAGGAGAAAGTATGGTTAGCAAAGCGAAATTTCATTATCACTATAAACGAAATCACGCGCAAGTCTTCGTCCACGTTCGACGAACATCGTGGATTACGCGTAATCCACCGAATTGTCAGGGTCAGAATGGATATCACGAACTTTTCAGCCTCTACTCTTTCAAGGGAGCAGTTCAGTCATAATAAAACAGGTATATATGATACTATTAAAAGAGTGTGTATGTCTCAAAGAGCACCGCAGCCTTAGGGGAAGGTTAGAAGCTGTTGAGCAACTTCTGCAGAACTAATGATGCATTTTTCCTCATTGTCAACTAAATGTAATGACACACGAAGCACACTATTTAAAAAATATAGAGGAACTTATATGAATCCTGGTAAAAACAGTTAATGGAATGCCCAACTGCACAACAAGTGTCGACTCAACTTACGACACGCCACCGAACGCAAACACCAAATCTAGCTAGCAGCCAACTCGACACCTACAAGTTGTAGGTCAAATGTTTTCTTTCACCTTGAAGTTATCAGAGATGTTAAAGTAAGCCAACTAACTCTGAATTTATTAAAGTATGGGAAGCAAAATATCTTTAGGTTATCATAAAAGTGTGCATGATAACTGTAGACGTGAAGGGCCGCAGCGTGTAACACAGTTCCTCGCTAGCAAGAACCCAATTTCAGGAACCTTTTTACGCGGGAAAAAACCCGAATCCGTCACTAAACAGTATCCAGCTAAGAGCTCAAAAAGCGTCACTGGGGAAACGCGTATATGTTATCACCACCCTTCTTCGAAAATCTGTCAAGACTTGGAAACCCGAAGGTGTCGAACTGTATTCAAAAAATTAATAATACGCAGGTTAGGGGGATTCGAGCAAATGCAAAGGCCCTGGAATAGGACAACACCTGGAGGTGGATAAGTAATCTTCAATGGATCACTATTTAAGGAACAATTACAAATTTTCTTAGAACTTTTGCGAACAGATATTCAGCAACATGCTGAAATATGTAAATGTGCCTATTTGAGACAGCCCAGAGGATTATGTAAAGGGAAGTTTGAACAGGGGTGGAGAGTTAACGTGTTGAGTGGATATGTATAAAGCCTAATCAAATGATGATCCATACCACCGAATCGGTGGATTAGGCCATGGCTGCTTTAGTAGGACAGTTAATCAGTCAGTGTATTTGAGAGGAATAGGCTTACGTCATTGAACTTCTTATTTGTACGTAGCAAATCGAGAAAGTAAGCAAAAATGCGAAGAAATTATTGCATTAAGTGAATTTGGACATCGATTCACATAGGGCACTTGTTTTTTGGTTACAAAGTCACATATTCCGCTTGTTGCTGCAGCATGTCTGTGAAGCCGACATTTAAATGTCTCCACAGATTGAGACCTAACAATGGTTTCGGGCATGTTCTTCAACGGTTCCACGACACGGTTGCAGAATAAATACTTTCTCACATTCAATTTACCTTGGGGTGCACGAAGTTTGGAAGGAAGGTCGCCGAAGGTAAGTTATAGTGGCGAGTTAGAAAAAGTCGTCGCACCGGAAGGCGCAGGCGAAGCCACACACTATACGGAAAGTTTGTATCAAGTCATCACGCAAATGCCCATAACTCAAAAGGATAGCGAATAAGGTTGTTTAGACGGATCTCGTATGGCAGTGCACCTTGACCTCTTATTAATTTTGTTGCTCGCCTCTGCACCCTTTCGAGCAGATTGTAATCCTGCTGCGTCCACGGTCTCCAGGCCTGGACTGCATATTCGAGATGCAGTTTTACAGACGTGCGAAGACTTTCGAGAAGCAGTCTTCGTCGAAAACTGCGAAGGTCCACTTGATGGCGTAAAGCATAGAAGTTGCGGCCTTGGCCGCCTTTCAACACTGTGTAGAGGGCTTTAGAATGTCTGCAACGCAGACTCTGAGATTTTTTTGCGTTTTTGTTTTTTGGAGTAGCATCCCGTTCAGATGTTATTGCCGCGTACTAGGGGTCCAATTTCCGAGGCGCAGGATGATGCATTTGTTAAAATAAAGGACAAGAGACATGTGCGGGATCACTCATCCAATCAACAAATATTTTCCTGGAAGTTTGCCTCGTCGGCAGCATTCTGGCTGACTTTCCAGATTTTTATGTCATCCGCAAACTTGGCACTATCACAGTCCAACCGACCGACACAATCATTGGTGACCAAGAGAAAGAGGGTTGGTCCGAGCACTGAACCTTGTGGGACTCCACTCTCTATGAATGTGCGCCCTGACTGCTGTTGTTCTGCGCAGACAATTTGGGATTGGCCGACGAGGAAATTCTCGATCCATTTTAGAAGTTTGCCGCCGATGTCCATTATTCTCAACTTGTACAGGAGACGCTAGTGCGGAACACTGTCGAACGTCTTCCGGAAATCAACATAGGTTGCATACACAGTGTGTTTTGCATCCAGTGCTCTTGTCCATCTGTGCATTATATATAGCAAGTTCGTTGCACATGATCTTCCCCTACGAAAACTGTATTACGCATCGGACAAGAGGTTGTTGGTTTCCAAATAAGCCGCCAACTCCCTTTTGATGGTTTTCTCTATCACTTCGAAGCAGACTAATGTCAGACTGACGGGTATGTATTTCGTCGCAAGAGCACGACCACTGCTTTTGTAAAGGGGTGTAATGTGGGCCGTCTTCCAGTCTGTGGAAAGGATTCCAGCATCAAACGATTTCTGTCACAGAAAGGTTAGTGGCCTGGCCAGCTGTCGGGAAACCTCAAAGAGCAGCTTTGCTGGGATCTCGTCGGGTTCGGGAGATTTACATTCCTTCAAGCTTTTTAGTTCTTCCACAATCGCTTCTTCTCGAAACACAATATTCTTGATAGTGGGATCTCCCATGTTCTCAGAGCTAGATGGAATAGAGTCTGCTTCTCTAGTGAAAACAGACTGGAAAAACGGAGAACAATGCTCAGCTTTATTTGTACTGTCCGATATCTCAGAACCGTCATCATTCCTCATGACAGGAATGGGATTCCTGTTACGGGGGCTCTTCCGCAAATAGCTGTAAAGAAATTTCAAATTTCTAAGGGCTCGCGGCAGCAGATTAATCTCGAAATCCCGTTGCATCTTGGAAATCAAGCTTTTCGCCTTATTTATTTGAACTTTATACTATGTAAAGGCTACATTTTCGTTTTCGCAAAACGTTTTCCACAGCCGTCCTTTCATATTGATCTCCCTTTTGAGATCTCACGTTAGTCACTGAGGTCGGTTGGATGTTCTAGGCTTTGACAAGGGACATTGGCTCGTCACTGGATGCAGCGAGCGATCCTTGACTAAATTCCAATTTTCGCTAACGTTTCCGGATAAGAGAACATCCCAGTCTGTTTGGGATGCCTCAGCACTCATTAGACAAAAGTCCCCTTTTGTATACGGTTCAAAATACAGCTCATACTCCATAAAAGTACAGCATGATCACTTCGACCGAGTGGATGTCGGTAGTACACTTCATCTATACTGTCAGGATCTTTGGTGAAGACGAGGTCCAGACAACTGGCCTGTTGCCATCTACACGCTCTTGTTGGAAATAGAACATGCTGCGGAAGAACAGCTTCTGGGGTTGCCTTTAGTGGACGGTAATCAAAGGTATACTTCGAGCACTTCGCAAGCATATCGCTCCATTAAATGCAGGGTGCCTTAAAATCACTCATAAGAGCAACGTCTGGTCGATTGGCGATCTATTTTATGCTTTCCAGTAGACAATTATCTGGGTCGGGATCCGCCTACGGGGCCAGTAGATAGTTACGACTTCGAGGGACTGAGACCTCCATGCCTTTATAGTTGGCTAAATTGCCTTTGCGTCGTCGGAAATCTTGTTGGTCCTCTCACACACTGTGAAATTGCTCTTTACATACATGACAACTTCTCCACCCCGGCGGCCTCTCCCGTCTCTCCTAAACAATTGGTGTCCTGTTAGTGCTACTTCGCAGTCACCAACGTTTTATCACGGCCACGTTTATATTATTGCTATAACATCTGGAGGCGATCGGCTACCTGTATTCTCAGTTCGTAAAGCTTGGAAAACAGACTCTGAACATTGGTGTAAAAGTATTTAAGTTTGCAACATTCGACAGTGTTTCGTTCGATTTGTCTCGGGTTTGCCAATATTATGTTGTTGCCGCCATCACGATGACTGGCTGGTTCCAGAGCAACATCGCGATCCTCAGTATCACTTGTCCTCTGAAAATATCCAAGTTGCTCTCTCCAGCTACACGTCTCCTCTTCAGCTCCGACACTAATTATCGGTGTTTCAGACCCGCTGAAAAACTTCTTTGTGAAAGTTTTGGAGGCGGCTTTTCCAGGGAAAAGTAAGCTGGCCTCCTCTTTACTGCCCAAAACAATTTGAAGAGGTCATGGCCGCACAGTTTCCAATTATTCGCTCGCCTTTCTGATCCTGAAGGCTGCGGGAATGGTTACCTTTTCATTCGAATTAGGCATTTTGTGAAGTAGGTATTGAAGCATATCAAGGTCAGCGGAAATCCTCCTCTTCGGAGTCGGAGCACTTGACTTCGATAGGCCTTGGACGACTACGCAATGCTGGTGATCAAGGTAATCATTTGTTCCGTTTCAGACTGCCTTGTCAGCCGAAGCTCTCAGGAGATCCACCGGAGCCGTTTTGGGTTTTATACTCCTGTTGTGGTGCTTACCCATTCCCCCTTGCCACGAGCTTTTTTCCTCAATGTTCGTTCTGTCTGTCCTCGAGTACTGCTGTCCTTTCCTTGTTTTAATGAACGCCTGTGACTGCTATAAGATCGCAAATGTTCAGAGGGTTTTCACCGGAAAATTTCTCTCAAGATTCGTCCGATATTTCTTATACTCAGAGATTTCAGCTGGCGAACATTAAGCTTTTGTGGGTTAGAAGACTGGAAGCTGGCCTTTGATTTTTTTTTCACATTAACTCTTACTCCAATCCCCGCTCATTGACACTCTCATTCCGAGAGATCGGTCTTATGTCACGCGTAACTCCTCCATGGTGATTCCGCCGCCTCTTTGCACTACATCCAAGCGCTCCCTCGTTTTTGCCTCCAAATATGCCTTCCTTTGGAATAATCTTCCACCAGTCCTGGTGCTGGCGACGTGCGCGACCGAGGACGGTTGGGGCTGTCGCCTGGATTGCGTCCCTAAGTTAGCACCATCAGTTCTCCGCAGAAGCTTTCCCGTCAGCGGCAGCGGTGGCGATTGGAAGGCTGGCTATCCGTTGCGCTGGCTCATTGATGAAATGGAAATGGTTGGCAGGCAACGACAACAGAGGAATGTTCAGTTTACCTGGGGATAAATTACCTTGAGGTCTCTCGCGATGCTGTAGGCGAATCCACTTCTTGGAGATGACGAGGCGGTGGACGGTCCAACCTTCGGCACCAGAGATTGTCTTTGTCACCAGCACGTCCCGCTGGTCGCGCCTCCGGACGAGGACATAGTCCAGCAGGTGCCATTGACGCGACCGAGGGTGCAGCCAGGTGGTCTCCTCTCGCATCGGGAGGCGGAAGTAGCTGTTGGTCAGAATGATCCGGTATTCTGCGCAGGTTCGTAGGAGGAACAGCCCATTGACCTTGGAGCCGTCGAGACCATGGGGACCGAGCACTGCTCTCCAGGCAGCATGATCTGTGCCGACGCGGGCGCTGAAGTCATGAAGGACAATCAACTTATCCGCCTTCGACAAAGTCGCCAGGACGGCATGCAGTTCCTCGTAGAATTTGTCCCTTGCAGTGTCGGGGCTGGTCATCGGGAGAGCGTAGGCGCTGAGGATGGAGACGAATCTGCCGCCCAAAGACGCAGGCGGAGGTTTATTAGTCGATCGTCGATGCCCTGCAGCAGACAAGGCAGGTGTCCCACGATGTCGTTCCTGGTGGCAAAGGCGACAACTGCGCCCCGTTTCTCTGCCTTGGGGTGACCGTTCCAGAAGAAGGCGTAGCCGGTACCAACCTCCTCCAGTTGACCTTGTTCGGCGAAGCGGGTCTCGCTGAGTGAGGTGATGTCCACCTTGTAGCCCGCTAGTTCACGAGCTACTAGCGCTGTCCTCCGTCCCGGTCGGTTGTTCCTGGGACCGTCTAGAGGGAAAAGAACATTCCAGGCTGCCAGATTGAGGGGTCACCCAACAAGCCTGTGGAATAGGGCGGCGGGGAGGTGAGGAGAAAGAGAGAGAGAGAGAAAGAGTATTGTTTTATGTTTGATTGTTTCGACTGTGTGTTTTGAGTCTGCGGTCACGGTCAGCGCGCAGAGGACGTAGTCCCAGCATTTGTTTAGATCACCTTTTCTAGCCCCGTCCTCCTCGCGGGGGTGAGCAGTGCTCTCCAGGCATAGGGCTTCATGGACATCCCAGGCAGCTGCCGAACTCCGCTATGGACCACGATTTTGGTTTAGCGAGAGAACGGCCCGAGCTAGTCTTGGCCGCTTACAAGATCGCTGTCGCAATAGCGGTAGGACTTTTTGATTGGTGTAGAGGTGGGATAGGGAAAGGGTAGAGAGGCGGGATGCAAAGTTTTCCCATCCCTCTTTAAACTAACCGGCTGATGAACTATAAACGGTGAGCAGATGAATCCAACTGAACGGTATTTGGCTTACAATAAGGACAAACTCATACAAGCAGACAACGGCAAGGAAGTAAGCGCAAAAACAGCAAATTAATATTCGGCTTGCCTGGGGGATCGCTTACCTTGTGGCCTCCAGTATATTTGCGGTCGAAGCGTCATCTTGGGAGTGGTAACGTAGTACTCCGTGGGACATTCGACCATGTGGTAAGAGAGTAAAGTAAAGTTAAGGGTAGAGAGAGTGAGGAGCAGAGGAGAAGGGTGGAGGATGTGTGCAGAAAAGTAAGTAGGCGGTCCTCCAGCCATTGGGTCAGTAACTTGCTGAGTGCTTGTGGCCTCCTGCGGGGTCGCAGACGGAGCCTCATCTCATTGACCGAGGCGGTGACCCAACCGGCCATTGATGGTGGGGGTGAGGCCGAGTTATTGTGTGCGGAGATGCACACGCGGATACCCTCAT